CTTATATTTCCTTCTGTACCATCTCCTAATGACTATTGCCCTCAGTATTTCTACAATCATCCTTTGATGTTTTTCTAAAGGAATTTCTTCTGGTTTTCTAAACTGATAAATTTATTTTCAGTCAAACAGCTACTTAATCAGTTGTATTAAATGAGAGTTAGATTAAATCTCTAGGGTGTTTTCTATTCTTTTCTATAATTCTCTGACAGTAAACACCAATCAGAGGGATTCATTCTCTACTAGCTACCAGTCTTTCCTGCTTTTGATTTACTGGATGTCTGGACTAGAATCATTGACTGCCACCATCCAGACAGCCCATTGCTGGGGACTTCCCCTCCCTCTTTTTAAATATACTGTTGATCTACTCTTCTACTTAGAATCCTGAATTATAATAGCTTGAATCATAGACTATGAGATATTGCCCCTTTATTGTGGGGATAATGTAGACATAATTAGCCCTATGATGATGGGCAGGTCACTTTTCTATAGGCTGACTTCAGTTTCTTCTCCTGTAAAGTAAAGAGGTTGGACTAATTGTAATAATAATAATAGCTAGTATTTATATAGTGCTTTTAGGTTTGCAAAGCAGTGTACATGTTTGCTCATTTGATCCTTGTAACAATTCTGTGAAGTAGGTGCTATTATTATCTTCATTTTACAAATAAAGAAATTGAAGCTGAGATGAGTTAAATGACTTGTCCAAGGTCAATAGATAGTAAATGTCTGATTTGAGATTTGAACTCATGTCTTCCTAACTTCTAGTTCAAGAAACATTTATAAAGTACTCACTAGGTGCTAGGTATTGTGCTAAGTGCTGGGGATACAAATAAGAAAAAGACAGTCTCTACTCTCAAGGAGCTTGCAATCTAACAGAAGAAGACAGAACACAAAATGAAGCTGGATACGGTGTGGAGGGAGAGAGTGCCCCTTGAGGGAACATGATGATAATGGAGTTGAATCCAAAGAATGTAGCTGGCAGGGTTAGGTGAGATGTTTCTAATGTCCCTGCTAGTTCTAGCAATCTGTAATTCTGATCTGGGTTGAGAGAGAGGCTCTCTACTCTCCCCATTTCCAGCCAGATGACTACAATGGGACTTACACCATCACCATCATTGTTACACAACTGCAGTTCTTATAGGTGTCCTATAATGTCTTTTACTATGATTCAACCATATTAAAACACTGTTACTCCAACTGAGTGAGACAGGAATGTTTCTCCACCCCCTCCCCAATTTCACTATTCTTCTTCATCACAAACTATAATGGAGTATGGAGGCATTGATCCATTTAGAGATGATTGCGACTCAGCTGGAAGTACCTCCCCACAGTCACTTTATGTGGCAGTAAGAGAGATCCTAACCTGAAGCCACAGGATTCACTAATGCCAGTTGTTTTTCTGGACTCCAGCCTTCTAGGAGGTAATAATGTAAACTTTAAGCCCCAGACTGCTGATTAGGACTAGGGAGCTAGACTGGGAGGCAAAGCATAGCCCAAGATAATCCTTGGTAGCTTTGCAAGTCCCAGGTCTAAGTAGGATGCTACAAGGCCAGGAACAACAGAAGACTTGTATCTGAGCCGTGGTCCTTTTTTCTTTTCACCTAGGTAAAAAGGTATCTTGAGAGGTAGTGTATCCTAGTGGATAGAAAGTTGTTCTGGAACCCCAGAAGAAGTGGATTCAAGTCTTTCCTCTGACACATACTGAGTGACCGCAGGGCAAACAGCTTAACTTCTCAGTAATTTAGGCAGCTAAAAACTACAAATTGGGAGGAAGTTGCAGACCTATGTTACTAGTTCTCTGTACTCCTAAAATCAGAGTTCTAAGGCCTATGCCTAACAGAGTAATATCCACATAGCAGTATATGTGTCTCACCCTCTTATTTCCTTTTTCTCTGTACTATATTTATTGTATGGTTTCTGTGCTTTCATTGTATAGTAATGTATATTTGTATGTGTGAAAGTTTCCTTCTGCTAGGTTGTAACCACTGTGAATGCAAGGTCTAGATTTTATTACCTATTTCTTAGTATCTGATAGACATAATTAATAGTTTTTGCCTGCTGGTTTAGTCTCCAGAGTCAGTTCTCTTAGAGGGATTTAATGGACTTACCTCCCCGATATTAAAGTCAGGGCAATTGTATCATCCTACATCAACCTGAAAATAAAAGGCAAGCAGGTGGGATCAGGTATAAAAAAGAAGAATTATAAGCTGCTATGGAGTCTATTTAGGACAGCTAGGTGGTGCAGTGCATAGAGTGCCAGGCCTGGAGTCAAGACTTATCTTCTTGAGTTCAAATCCGGCCTCACACACTTATGAGCTGTGTGACCGTGGGCAAGTCACTTAACTTTGCCTCAGTTTCCTCATCTGTAAAATGAGCTGGAGAAGGAAATGACAAACCACTCCAGTATCTTTGTCAAGAATACCCCAATGGGGTCATGAAGAGTCGGACAGGACAGAAATGACTGATTCAAACAGGAAGAGCATCAAAGGAAAATCACAGAAGTGGGGCCTCGCTTCACTGGGGTCTCTCTATTCAGTCATTTCAGTCCTTCTTCACTGGGACAGCTTTCCCCTGAGGCGCAGACGAGCACGTGCTGGGGGCGGAGCTTGGGAGCAGTCGCCCCCCAATAGCGGCGCGCCAGAGCGCACACTCCCCCCATAGCCCGGGCCGCCCTGCCTTTGGCCCCGCCCCCTCTCCCCAGCAGTCGGCAGGTCTCTCGCGGCGAGCTCGGCTTCGTGACGTCATCAGGGCGCGACGCCGCATCTAGTGCCCCCGCCACTGCGGCGGCGGCGGCGGCGGCGGCGGCGGCTGCGGCGGCCGACACTAGAGTGGGACAGAGAGACAGAGAGGGAGAGAGCGCGCGCGCAGCTGCAGCCACAGCTGGAGCCGGAGCCCTAGCGGCAGCCGGAGCCGGAGCCGGCGCCGGGCAGCGAGGCGAGGCCCGGCCCGGCGCTGCTGGTGGGTGTCTGCGGGAGGAGGAGCTCAGCGGGGTCCGGGCTGGCCGCACGTTGGCTGCGGCGCTGTGGCTTGGGGATCGGGGCTCCTTTGTCTTTCTCTGCCCTCCTCCCTCCTGTTCCCCCGGGCGGGGCCCTCGCCAACCTGTGAGAGCTGCGGTCATTCTTCTGCGGCTTGTTGGTGTATGCCCTGGGCTCTGGCTCTGCTGCCCTTCCTTTCCCTCCCCAAGGGGCACGTGTGAGGCTGTGCCTTTGACTTGTGTCACCCCCGGGGCACTCGGTCGGGGGAGGGGAACGGTGCCTTAGACCCGTGTCACCCCTAGTGGCACGTGGAAGGTGGGTTGTGCCTGTGCTCAAGGAGACGGGCATTGTGCAGAAGCTCTGACTCAGCCCCATGGGGATCCCAAGTTCAGTGGCGCCTGCCACTGTGTTGTTCTGCCCCATCCACAGAGAGGTCCTCTTCAGAAGAGAAAGCTGGGGTCTGAATTCCTCAAGGGTCAAGAGAGGGAGACAAATCCCCATTATCTCTTAATGAGGACAAGCCTCACATCTTCCCTTTGGATGAAAAGGATCTAAACGGGTTGGGTGTTTTTTTTTTTAACCTCCCTATAGGAATTGCAGTGAAACTTCTCTAAGCTCTTCACCTCGCTCCCTTAGTGATGCAGGAAAAAAAAATGTAGGGGTGTGTGTGGAGGTTGATGGTGAAAAGAAAAGGGACTCTCCATGCCCTCTTCGAAGCTAGTGTTGAAATAAGTATTGAAGAATTGTGAGAACAGAAGGCACACATGCCTAATTCCGTGCCAACTCCTGTTTAGAGAGCAGGTATTGCAAGGTTTTTCCCTCCCACTAGTTAATACTTTCAGGCAGGCAGCGACAGCTAGAAGGAAGTCCAACTGGGATCTTTCCTATGTGTGAAGTTGGGAGCAGGAAGACGTTGCATTCCTCTTGGGCAAAAAATCTTTCACATCCTGGCCTTCTCCTTGGACTTCTTCTCCATCACCCTTGCAATTTAGTTCTGTAAACTTCAGTAGACCAAATTAGTTTTTCCTGGCATCCTGTTATCACTATTATATGGGAATACTCAAACCAAAAACTGATAAACAAATGCTGAGCTTTTATTTATAGAGGAACTTTAAAACCTGATGTGTATTTTTACTCTTATATCCTTTCCTATTAGATTGTTATAGTTACTGTAAGTACTTAAGAACATAAGTATTATTGGATTAAGGGTGATGACTGTCAGACTATTTTAGATAAATGCCTCGGTCTAAGTCTTAACTAAGTGGCAGTAATTACTGTGGGCGTTGTGATGTAGAATTTAAAAAAAGTATTAAATCGAACTATACTAAAATGACTGATTTAAGAGTTAGCACAGAATAAATTAGGAAGTTTTTATATCTTGTGTGTATGTTGCTGTACTTCCTCTCTTGCCGTGTGTCCTATAAGAAACTCTAATGGTAGAGCCTTCTGAATATAATTGCTTATTGGAAAGGGAGAAAGTGAGTGAAGATCAATTGTGTTTAGTTTTGGGGTCTGCATCTTAAAGATGTAAAGAGGTGACCAAGATAGTGTAAAAATCATGCCATATCAGAATTGATAGAAGGAATTGGAAATGTTTATCTTTGAGAATAGAAGAGTTAAGAAACAGTTCAAGTATTTGAAGAATTGTCATGTAAAAGAGATTAAACTTCTTCTGTTTGGCCCCGAAGGATAAAAGTAGGAACATTGGGTAGATGTTTCAGAAAGGTACATTTCTGCTGACATAAGGAAAAAAAAACATCTTAGTAGTCATAACTGTCCAAAAGTGGAATGGCTTGCCTCACTGAACTGTCTTACCAGTGAAGTCTGTGAACACTTGTTGGTGATGTTGTAGACAAGGTCATTTATAACCTAAATGACTAGACCTTAGAGGTTCCTTCTTTCTCTGACTTCGTGAAATCTGTGAAGTTAAACTTGAGATGTTTTAAAAATACCGTATTTTTGGCTAGGAAATCAAACTAATATTGGTTATTATCTTTATTTCTAAATTATTATCTGTCCTCTCCCCAGATATCAATCTCAACAAAGGATAAGGAGGAGGAAAAAAGTTCCGTAAAGAAGGGAGGTGGGTATGTTTTCTTATTTCTTCTTCAGGGTCAGGTTTGATCATTATAATCACAACCTTCAGTTTAATAGTGGTAGTGGTATGTTTGGTTTGGGTAGATTTTGAAAGATACATTAGCACAATGACTGTTTCAGTTACTGTAACAACTCAATTGGAGGTTATAGTCAACTAAGTTGAGAGGTTAACTTTCAAGCTCTCTTGAGTTTCCTTATCAGGTTCTTTAGACTTTTTTAAAAAATGTTTTATTTTTCTTTATTTTTGCCACAATAACTCAATGAAAATAAGGGAGTTGTAATCTTCATTACTGAAATCATGGCTCCTTAAAGTAGTGATGTAAGATTTGCTTTATGAACTTAAGTATCCATAATTTACTAGCTTTTTCTTTAAGGAAAACATTGATTCATCTTGAAATGAACCATTATTTATATAGTTAAGTGAATATAGGAAAGTTTAGAGTACCCTGAATTGTAAATATATTCATCTATTTTTAATGTATGCTAATCATACATAGGACGTTATTTTTGGTTGCAGTACATTATTGAATTCTTTTGACTTAGTAATGTACTTGAGATCATATATACATACACACATACCACATATGTGCATACATATATAAATCTATAATGTAAACACCATACACATATAAATATATAAATGTAAATTTCATGTATGTATATGTATACATATGTACACATGCATATACACATGTGTACAATACATATACACACATGTATACACATGTACACATACACATATGTGTATATAGGCATACACACATACATATATGCACATATATGTATATAATACATACATACATATATGTATGTATGTATATACACATATATATAATTTGCAAGTCAGCGTTTTACTAAGATATTGAAAATATCTCACTCATACATAATTTTATTTTATATAGCACATGATTTGGGATTTTAAGTTGGTGTCATGGATGAGTCCACGATGTCCCTTGGTACGATAGATGTTTCTTACCTGTCAAATTCTTCAGAATACAGTGTCAATAGATGTAAACACTCAGGTGAAGAATGGGTAAGTTTAAACTTTATTGCTATGCCATCCCCTTCTGCCCTCCCCCCCCAATGAAGCATAAGATTAATTTCAGTAATCAGGCAAACAGTGACCATACAAAAATTGAAATGAAAATGGGTTATGGCAGAAGAGCAAAATTATCATACTGGTTGTGCCACTGGCAATGTAACTATAGTTTAATAAATTAAAAATTTGTGCCTATGCCAAAGTAAATGAATGCATAGGTTGCTTAGGGTTTTTTTTTTACATTTGATTACAAAATTTTAGAATTCAAAGGGGGGTATGTACTTTTCTGCTATTTAGACCCTTTTCTCTTAATTTTTACTAGGGAGATTGTGGTTTCAGACCCAGTGTCTTCCGATCGGCAACTTTAAAGTGGAAAGAAACATTAATGAGCAGGAAGAGGCCATTTGTGGGACGATGTTGCTACGTGTGTACACCCCAGAGCTGGGTAAGCCTTTCAGTGATAAGAAATTGAGGAAGGTGTTTTATATGTTACAGTTGGGGTAAATTTGATATTTCAGGGTTTTAGTATTTTTGACTCACTTTTAACTCTCTATTTATAATCCACACTTATGCTGCAAAATATGTTGAGTGGTATTTTCTCTGCCCACATCTTTTATAGGAATAGTATATATAACTTTTCAGAGTGTCTTTGGAAGAAAGAGCTCAGGGGGTTAAGAAGAAAACAATTTGACATTGAGCAGTATTAAACATTGTAGCAAGAAAAGTTGTAGGGGTAGAACAGAACAGAGGTGACTGCCAAGGGCAAACAGTGTTTCCAGTAGCTGCTTTGCTGTCCTTTAAGGCCTCCACTCCCAGGAAATGTCTATTGATTTTTGCTGTAGAATGGGGGTAGAGTGGGAGTGGAACATAGTATTGGGAAATCTCCCATTTTAGACAGATATTTGTCAGGATGAAGACTAAAAAATAAAAGTAACAAAAAAATTAAAATGTGTTCAAGTTTCTTTGTAGGAGACAAGAGCTATGTGTAATAACTTGAGTTCCTGGGATAGTATTTTAGAAGGATCAGTTAGAGAAAAATACAGGAATGTGTCAGAATAAGGAATTCTGGAACTAATGCAACAGTGTTCCAAGTCTGTGAGAAAAGCCTCTTAAAAAATTTGAGTTAAGTTCAAATGTTAAGCTTCTTTGTCCTTAGATTCTTATTGAGGAGGAAAATGCTGCCATTCATGCCTTACTTACTGCCTGTAATGTGTCTGTGTGAATAGATCGCTATGCTGAATGTGAGTTTTCTACTTAATGTCCTTTTGGCAGCAAAAGAAGTCAAAGACAGAAAGGAAGGGATTTACAGCAATGGAAAAAGGTTGTGTGTGCCACTCAAGCTTCTCCTAAAAAAAGCTTAGTGATCCTTAAGAATGTTCCATCCCTAAGCCACTGTGTTCCTTTGAAACCCAGAAGTGGTTCAAGCACACAAAGTAGCTTGTAATCAGGAAAGATGATGGGATTTTTGCAGATAGGGGCCAATCTTTGCCTATTGGAGCCTGTTGGGAGCTAGAATTTCTTTTGGAAGTACCCTGATAAGCTTTGTTAGGTACTGGCCCTCTCTTTTTACCTGCAAGGCATTTGTAAAAGAATATGAAATGAGAAGAGTCTCTGCCCTCAAAAGTAATAGAAGGGATAAGACACAGACACAAACGCAGACACACAGACATACACGATTTCCACTGAGAGTATTATGTGATCTTTGCTGATAAAGAGATCAATTTCAGCTGTGAGGAGCATAGAAGAGCTGACTCCTGAAGGGAGGGAAGGATTTCAGTAGGTAGAGATGGGTGGAAAGTTCATTTCAGGCATTGGGGACCATATGAGCAATGGTAAAAGGGACCAGAAAGGACAGGATGGGATTGGAAAATTTTAAAGGGCCCAATTTGACTGGAATGTAAAGTATATGAAGTGTAGGAGTAATATAAAATAATTTTAACTGGCTTCTCTCCAATAACTAGCTTTCCTTATTGGGAAGAAAAGTCACTACCGTTTTAAAATCTACCCATAAAGAAATGGCCTTTTGCCAGACTTTTTCTCATTTAAAATGGTAGCCTGAACATGGGACTTATAAATGTCAACCCCTGGTATCCAGTCCATCTTAAATATCTTCTTGGTAGCCTTGTCCCAGTAACTTAGACTCTCTGCAGCTTCTTCTTTTCCTTTTCTTCCCTTAAAGTATGTAATTCCTTTTCCCTTTAAAAGGAGGTAACGTTCAAAGCAGGTAACTTTTCAAAGATCGATTTAAGTTAATGAAAGAGGAGCAGTATGGCATAATGGTAAGAGTCAGGTCTTTGAGACACAGTTCATTTACCATGAGGATTTAGGCAAATCTCTTAACTTCTCTGTCTCAGTTTCCTTGTTTGCAAAATAAAAATAATTCCAGAGTGTGTATGTGTGGGTGTAATTATGTAATTTATTTATTTTTAGTTTTCAACATTCACTTCCATAAGATTTTGAGTTTTAAATTTTCTCCCCCTCCTCCTTCCCCCCTCTCTAAGACAGCGTGCAGTCTGATATAGGCTCCATTTATACATTCATATTAAACACATTTTCACATTAGTCATGATCTAAAGAAGAATTAGAACTAATGGGAGGAACCTCGAGAAAGAAGAAACAAAACAAAACAACAAAAGAAAAGGAGAGCAAATAGTATGCATCTATCTGCATTCAGACTCCAAAGTTCTTTCTGTGGTTGTGGATAGCATTTTCCATTGTGAGTCTTTTGGAATTATCTTAGATCCTTGTATTACTGAGAAGAGCTAAGTCTATCAAAGTCAGTCCTCAGCACAATGTGGCTGTTGCTGTGTATAATGTTCTCCTGGTTCTGCTCATCAGCCTCAGTTCGTATAAGTCTTTCCAGGTTTTTCTGAAGTCTGTATGCTCATCATTTCTTACATTTCAATAGTATTCCATTACATTCGTATACGTCACCTTGTTCAGCCATTCCCTTATTGATGGATATCCCTTTAATTTCCAATTCTTTGTCACCACAAAAAGAGCTGCTGTAAATATTTTTGTACATGTGGGTCCTTTTCCTGTTTTGCTTTTAAATTTTTTTATTTTTTAGGCAGTTGGGGTAAAGTGACTTGCCCAGGGTTACACCGCTAGTAAGTGTCAAATGTTTGGTCTGAGGTCGGATTTGAGCTCAGGTCCTCCTGACTTCAGGGCTGGTGCTCTATCCACTGCACCACCTAGCTGCCCTCCTTTTCCTGTTTTTATGATCTCTTTGGGATACAGACCTAGAAGTGGTTTTGCTGGATCACAGGGTATGCACAATTTTATAGCTCTTTGGGCATGTTCCAAATTGCTCTCCAAAATGGTTGGATCAGTTCACAATTCCACCAACAATGCATTAGTGTTCCGATTTTCCCACATCTTCTCCAACATTTATCATTTACTTGTTTTGTCATGTTGGCAAATCTGATAGGTGTGATGTGGTACCTCATAGTCATTTTGATTTGCATTTCTCTAATCAGTAGTGATTTAGAGCACTTTTTCATGACTATAGATAGCTTTAATTTCTTCCTCTGAAAATCAAAGTATATTTTTTGAGAAGAAATACTACCTGTTAATAGAAATAGTGCTCTTTTTACCCTTGTAACCTTGAATTTCCTATTTTTATTGTCATGGAAAAATATTGAGGTTTACGTAGAACTTTCTAAACTTTTTTGTGGGGTGTCTCAATTTTTCTTCCATAGGACAAGTTTTTCAACCCAAGTATCCCTTCCTTAGGACTGAGGAATGTTATCTATATCAATGAAACTCATACAAGGTAAAGTGTCACTTTAAGAAAATACATAATTATATTTGTTTCAAACTTAATCCAGCTATCAAAATAATCAGTTACCAAACCTTAGTTAATTGTTACTTCCTGGCAGTTAATTAAAATGAGGAGGCTTTTGGTGGGACAGACTTTTTGTGGAGAAAAAACTAGTCATGTAAGGGACCAATTGTTATTGCTGCTGTAATTATGAAGTGTACCATGATATTACTTAATAGACCAGATATTAATGTACCACGTATTACTTAAAGTTTTATGCTTAATTTGCTCATATATTAGTTTCCTATCGAAAATGTGTTATTTTTTTTCTCCAGGGAAGCTTGATATATTGTTTTGGTGTTGTGTTCTAGGATGAATATTTTTACTTAAATAAATTATTAAAATTTATTTACTTTTTAGTGGAATACAAAGTGATAATCTATCATTTGAGTAAGGTGGCTCTTGGAATGATTGCTTCCAAATTCAAATCAAATGGGAGCAAGCTTGTGGACTTAAGGAAATGATTCAAAATGTTGGAGTAAGAAAAAAGGAGCTTTGTTTGTGCAAAAATTTGATGACAGTGGAAGAGTGAGAAAACAGGGCTTGGGGAAAAGACATCAGCAGATAAAATAGACCCATTCAGCTACTCTTATTTTTTTATTAGCTAAAACTTGGGATGAGAGTAAACGGTTGGTGAAACATACTGAAAAATAGTTGAAATTCTTTGAAGCAAGGGAGGGAGCATTTTTTAAAGTGTCTCCTGTGTGCTAGGCACTTTGTAAATATTACCTCATTTAATCCTTAAACTTATGAGGTAGGTGCTATTATTATGATCTCCATGTTACAGTTGAGGAAACTGAGTCAAGCAGATGTTAAATGACTTGCTAGGGTCACACAGCTAGTGTTTGGGGTTGAATTTGAACTCAGGTCTGCATGACTCCAGGCCTGGACTTCTATTCAGCGCGCTACTTCACTGCCTGTGAAAAGCCAATGTGAGGTCATACTGTTGAGTCACTTTCTATAGTAGCTCTTCATATTAGCAAAAACTGGATGCTTGCTTAGCTGTCTTAGGAGAATTTAATTCTCATATTCAAGTGATAAAGTTAAATCAGTATTTTGTTGGGAAATGTTGTTTTCCTTCTTAGGCCTCTCCACCTTCCTTAAGAAATATGTATGTATGTATGTATGTATGTATGTATATGCATAAAATCATCTGATTTTTAATAGAAGCAATTAAGATTGAGTTCCCAAGAAAAGGAATCTCATTTATATAAGTGTTGCAAGCATATACTGATATTTGGGCGTTTTATTTATAATACTGTGCAAATTGTGCAATTATATCTAGATGGAGTCGCTCTAAGAAATAGAATCATTAAACCATTGTCTAAGAAATATCAGGGTATTTAGCTCCTAGTGGGCATCAGCTGCCTAAGTACATTGCTTAACACTTGGCTAGATAACAAGTTTTTTTTGTAATGTCTAGACAAAGCGTAAAATAAACCATAACAACTTTATTTTTCCATCAGGTGCACATAATAACCTGGCAGATTATACTTTCCTCCCTTTGGAATTTAATTGCCTAGGAATTTCATAGCATGACTGTACTTTGTACCTTGTAATGATATTCCACTAATAATAGAGAAGTGTACTCTGAAAGAAGAATATTTTGTATTTTTGTAATGCTTACTTTTCAGAGGCTTGGGATGGTGTCAAAAAGCTTTTGAAAGGAAGAGAAGGCAGTGAAAAAATTTTAGGATGGAGTGATGAGGAAAGTGGGTTTTATTATCGTAGAACTGAGTTATTTCATGTGTTCTACTACATATTTCAGTATAGATTTATAAATAGTGAGAAAAATAGTAACTGTTTTCAATGTTAATTGTTATGAAGATTAACAGAATGTGTTATTGACAGTTTGGAAACATAGAGACAAGATTCTAGACTACACTGCTAATGATATATCTTTGAATGATCATGTGCTCAGCCAGACTCATTTAAAAGCAGATGCCTCGAAATAATAAAGATAATTTCTTTTTTTTTCCTAATGAATTGTATTGCATATTATGGGCTTAGTAAGTTCCTTGAAAGTGAAAACTTTTAAATTTTGTGGCATTTTGGTGGTTGTTATTTGGTAGAGGAAAAGGGAAAACTACATAAATCAGTTTTTTATTTTTAACCTGGGGTCCATAAGCTTTAAAAGAAATATGCATAGCTGTTTTTCAGTATAATTAGTTTCCTTTGAAATTCTATGTATTTTATTTTATGTGTTTAAAAACATGAATCTGTGAAGGTATCTGTGGGCTGTACCAGACTACCAAAAGGGTCCATGATGAAAAAAAGTTAAGAATCCCTGGTATAAATGAGTACTTACTTTAAATTTTAGTTGTGAGCCCTTGAGAAAATTGGCATAACTATTGATAGCATAATTTCTTGCCCTTGGATAACTATTGTAGATATTAGATTGCTGTTATAACTATTACAGATCTAGGTGGAAAATTTAAATGAATATTAGAATTAAGCTTACTTTTACAGAAAGGACTTGGGGGGGGAAGATGAAAAACCAAAATGATTAAAATAATTTGTTTTAGATGTTAACAGAATACCTGACTATTTTCATATTGCAGGCATAGAGGATGGCTTGCAAGACGCCTTTCATACGTACTTTTTATTCAAGAGCGGGATGTTCACAAAGGCATGTTTGCCACCAATGTGGCTGAAAATGTATTGAACAGTAAGAGGTGAGGGGAGAAAAAATTTCTATACCATTCCAACTTCTATAGAGCAGCATTTCCCAAGTTTTTTTTTTACTTTGTTAAAGTTTTGTAAAACATCCTTAGAAAATACAGATAGAGGGTAAAGTAGATTCTTTGAGGAACAGTAAACATGCAGAACAGAATGCTAGAATTGCAAATTATTAATTATATGTTTCACAAATACCACAGAAATAAGTTGGTTTAGGAGATGTGTGTTTCCTGGAAAGTGTTGTCATAACAGTAATGTGAGATAATGAATGCATTTTCAGTTTGTAATTCATTCTTCAAGATCTGGAGGATAGGAGTTGAGTTATCAGAGTTAGTAAATGTTATATGCTTTTTGTATTGAAATATAGAGTAATAGACTTTTTTTTTAGTGTAGTTTGTTCCTTTTGGATTTTGTCATTTTGTAGTCACTAACCAGCCAGGCCTGATAAGTCTGGCTGTCCACTAAAATCACTATGAAAATTTAAAACTACTGACTTAGCAGAGCTCTCATAGGATTGTTAATGGTGCCATTTATTTTAAAAAATTAAGCCGTTTTCCATTGTTTCCTACATTAAATGTAACAGTAATCCAAATAAGAATTTAGAAGCAATTTAAGGAGCTTGCTCCTTGGGTCAGTGGACTTTCCCTTTGAGTAAATAGAATGGACTTATAAATCTGTGGACTATATACTTCCATTGCTGCTCTCCTTTTTTGGAAGGTAGAGCCAGCTACATCTTTTGGTGCAGGGACCTCTAAGGAAGCTCCCTCTACAAATGCTGACCATCGACTATCCACTAATTGATGATGCTAGAAGGTTGCCTTGGGTGGCAGAAGCTTAAGGGATTTGGCCAGGGTCACACAACCAATTTCTGTTAGATGTGAGGCATGACTTTGGTCTTTTTGCTCTCTATCCACTTTACCATGCTTCTCTCTGCTTTGCAATTTAAAAACAATTTGGATTTCATTTTATGGTAATTTAAAAAATACTCTAGTACTCAAAAAGATCCCCTCTAATAAGTGCAGAATGCAGTCATTCCCATCCTGTGTAACTCCTGTCTGTTTTTCCCTAAGTTCATTACAGAGGGTCCATTCAACAGGCTGGGGACCTTCCTTGCTGTTAACATTGCAAAGATATCTGTGGCTGACATGGGCCTATCATTGGTTATCCCAGCTCTTGCCAGCTTGTCTTTTTTGCTGAATACATTTCTTTGATGTCATCCTTCACTTCTCCTTTGTAATTCCATTTCTAATGTTTTGTATACCTGTTTAACCCACCAGATACCTTTCTGTTGCGCTCTGGATGCTTGTTCTTGGGTTTTTGGAGATGAGTCTTCCATGCCTCAGGCATACAGCACCAGAAACAATATTTATATTAAAAAGATGGGCCATTAAAAGAATTTTGGGTCTCAGGGCCATTAAAAGAATTTTGCGGTTTCCAGAAGGCAGTCCCGCCCACTCACTTGGTTTTTGGGTCTAATTCATTGTTTATTTGCAGTGCTTGTCCAAGAAATGCATATGCACACACAGCCATTGGAAAAATTCTATAGCTTGTTTATTGCAATGCATATCATAGTTTAGAAATAGACATTCTTCATCTCTTGGCTTTTCCTGGGTAGATTGTTAGGCCAGACTCATGTGAGTGGTCATGGATCTCATCCAGGAGGCTCTACAGTGTTCTTAGTCCTGATGCAATCTGCATAATGTCATCCACAAACAGGAGCATCTGGAGTATTGAAGTACTTCACCATTTATACGGAATCCTTCCATAATTTTGACTGTGCTGTTTCCCCATGATTGTGGTAAAGATCTTTGTCAAAGTTATGTCTCTGTTTTGTGTTTTGCCTGATAATAGTAATCAGAGGCTTGTCAATCAAGGTATTTCTCTTATATTTTTTAAGGAATCATAAATAATTTTGAGGTATGCATGGGAGACACTTTACTGAAGGAGAACCTCTAAGGCAGGCTTTTGCTTAACTTATACTTTTTTATAGTTCACAAGACTATATGTATGATGGGCTCTTGCTTCTCTATATCTTTTAGTCAATTTGATGATGATAGATATTGGGTTTGCGGTGGAATACTGCTTGTGAAAGCCTGCTAGCTCTCTTTTGATAGCTTCAGTAAGAATTTCCTTAATGCTGTGTAAATTATTTTTTATGGGAAATATTTTATATGGGAAAGTAGGCATATTGGTCAGTTATTGGTGTGCCTTCCAATTGTGTCTTATCTATCCAAATAAAAAGATCCTAGATTTTTGGTTGTCTCCCCCTTCTTCATTTATCTTGAAAAATTGACCTATCAATGCCCTTCCAGTTGCATTGCTTTCTCTATGCACGTGTAGTCTGGTTCTGTTTCTTTTCTCATCTTTCTCTTCGTTGCCATTTTTGCTACCTTTGTAAGTACATCCCAGGACTGTGATGTTAGAGTCTAAATGTGGTGACGCCACAATGCTTGATGATGACAAGTGTGTGTTAAAAACATTTTTGTAGATCTTTTCCATCTTATATCACTATCCAGTTTCATCTTTAAGTGTCTTTAGCTTTTTAAAGGCAGCTAGTTGTCACAGTGGATGGGGCTTTGGGCCTGGAATCAGGAAGACCGGAGTTCAAATTTTGCCTCAGACACTTAATTAGCTGTATGACTCTTGGCAAGTTAACTTCACTTCTGGCTACTTTAGTATCCTCAATTGTAAAATGGGGAAAATGATAGCATTTACCTCCCAGGATTGTTGTGAGGATCAAATGTGATAATACTTGTAAAACACTTAGCACAGTGCCTGGCACATCGCAGAAACTTAATAAATGCTTGTTCCCTCTCCTTTCTTCCCCTTTGTTCTTGTAATGTCCTTGGTTAGGGTGTCTTTCTAAGCTTCCTTCAAACTGTTTTTATTCACAACTGCCTTTCTTTGTTCTATTTGGCAAGTCTGTATTCTAAACAAGTGTTTTCCTTGATTGCCATTATCTCTTCACTTTTCAATGAAGTCACTTGTTAGTTGACTAATGCAGTTTTTTCACCATTTTGGTGTCTTCATTATAGCAATTGATTTACATCTGCAGAGTTTCTGCATAAAATAATTATAGCAAGTGTTGATGTCTTTTTGTTCATATGCCATTTTTTTTTGGTCATCAGTAGCTTGTTTAAATGTTAGGATGTTACTTTTCTTTTTTTTAAGATATCTTTTTTTAATTAATTTATTTTGATTTATCAACAACCACTTCCATGTGCTTTTGAGTTTAAAATTTTTCTCTCCCTCCCCACCACCCTCCCCAAGACGGTGCACAGTCTGATACAGGCTATACGTACACATTCCTATTAAACAAATTTTCACATTAGTGATGTTGTAAGTGAGAATTAGAACCAATAGGAGGAACTACCAGAAAGAGGAAACAAAACTCAACCGAAGAAAAAAAAATAGCAAATAGTATGCTTCGATCTGCATTCAAACTCCATAGTTCTTTCTTTGGATGTGGATAGCATTTTTCATCATGAGGCTTTTGGAGATGTCTTAGATCCTTGTATTGCTGGGAAGGGTTAAGGTTATCAATATTAGTCATCGCACAATGTGGCTGTTATTGTGTACAACGTTCTCTTGGTTCTGCTCACTTTACTCAGCATCAGACCATTCAAGTCTTTCCAGGTTTTTCTGAAGTCAGCCTGTTCATCATTTGTTATAGCACAGTAGTATTCCATTACATTCATATACCACAACTTGCTCAGCCATTCCCCGATTGATGGGCATCCTCTCAATTTCCAATTCTTTGCCACCATGAAAAGAGCTACTGTAAATATTTTTGTACGTGTAGGTCCTTTTCCCATTTCTGTGATCTCTTTGGGATATAGCCCTAAAAGTGGTATTGCTGGGTCAAAGGGTATGCACATTTTTATAGGATGTTACTTTTCAAATTATACATCATATTTATAAATATCTCATTTTTATTCTAGTTTTTTATTTTGAACTTGACTCTGACAATTTGTTGGATTGACTACAACAAACAGCTGGGGCAAGAATGACTTTTTTATATTATTAGTGAGTCATTCTTTGTCTTAGGTATAACTGATTTAAGTTTTTTGTGATACTATATGACACTTGCTGTGCCTTTTTTTTTTTAATAACATTTGATCTTTTATTTCCCAGTAGCATGTGAAAACTTTTTTTTTAAACATATGTTTTTAAAACTTTGGGTTTCAAATTTTCTCCCTTCCTCCCTCCCCACCCACCCTCATTGAAAAGGCAAGCAACTCAATATAGATTGTACATGTGCAGTTATGCAAAACACTTCCATAGTAGACATGTTGTGAAAAACTAACTCTATTTCCCTTAATCCTATCCTGCCTTCCCGTTTATTCTATTCTTTCTTTTGACCCTGTCCCTCCTGAGAAGTATTTACTTCTGATTACGTCCTTTCCCAATCTGCCCTCCTCTCTATCATCCCCCTGCTCTCTTGTCCCCTTCTCCCCCTATTTTCCTCTAGGGTAAGACAGATTTCCATACCCATCAATTTACTTTTTTGAAGAAAGTGTTTGTGTTTGTAATTTACATGTCTTTGGCCTCTCATTCTTTACAACTGATCCATAACTTCCAACATTTTCCATTATCCTTGCCTATTTCTACTTTCATGTTGAAGTCATGAAGTTACTCAGAATCAGTGTATATGTTAATTTAATTGACAGGTCTTGTTGAGTTTTTCACAGAATTTCTCTACCTTTTTATCCTTTGTAGCAGACAAGCTACAGTTATTTTCATTGTCTTTTTGAAAATGTTTATTATAAACATTGCAACACCAGATTAACCCGGTGTCTTGGGTTATGGTGTTTCTTGTTGCTTTTGGGAACATGATAAAACCAACTCTGCTGACGTCCTTTTTTTATCTTTTCTCTCTAATTTCTCTCAGTGAACTCATCAGCTTATATGAGTTTAAATATCATCTCTGGTGATGATTCCTAAATTTCTGTATCTAGTCCTAAATCCTTTCCTGTGTTCCAGTCTCACATAACCTATTACATTTCCACCTGGATGTCCTGTTTAGAGCTTAGAGTCAACATTTCCTAAAAGAATTAATTTTCTTTTCTTTCAAGCTCACACCTTTTCTGAATCTTTCTATTCCTATTAGGGGTACCACCATCCTTCTAGTCACCCAGGTTTGCAACTCAGTGTTGTCCTTGATGCCTCACTCTCTCTCACCCCACATATCCAGTTATTGCTAAATCTTGTCCTTTTTACCTCCATGACATCTCCTGTATCCATCTTCTTCTCTCCCCTGTATAACTACCACCTTAATTTAGTCCCCTGTCAACTCTGCTTGTAGGATGCAGATGGTTGATGCAGGTGGAAGGTCTAATTAGTCTTCCTGCCTCAAACTTTCCATTCTTATCCATCCTCCACAAAGTTAAAGAGCTGTGTTCTCTTTAAATACAGCTCTTATTACATCACTTCCTTACTGAGTATACTGAGGGGGTGGAGGGGGGATCCTTTAAGGATGAAATATAAACTCTTTAGCATTTTAAGCTTTTTACAGCCTAACTTTAACTCTGCTTCTAGCCTTACTACATATCAGTCTTGTTTTTGTGTACAATGACATTCTGTCACTCTCAAAAGTCTTGAAATTGTCCATTCACTGTGCCTGGAAGCTTCTCCTCTTAAAATCCCTTACTCCTTTTCAAAGCTCAATTCTCATGCCATCTTCTGCATAAAGCCTCTAATGATTCCTCTGTCTGCCGCACGCCACACTAGTACCTTTTCTCCAAATTATCTTTTGTTTCATTTGCATAGATCCATTTGTGTACCTGTTTTTTCTCCTGGCTATATTGTAAGTTTCTCAAAGGCAGAAACTTTTGTCTGTGTTACCCCAGTGCCTGGCAGATAGCAGGTGCCTAATGAATGTTTGTTAGTTGATTGCTTCAGCAGGGAAAATCTGTGAGCCATCCTTCCATTTAGCTGCAGCTTTGAGTTTCATTTAAAGTGAGAATGTCAGATTGATGCAATTTAGTTCTTTTGTAGGATGTCCACTTAGTTATTGAACAATATTATTGTGGACGATCTCACATTTAGATTAACAATGATAAAATGTTTATGATGAAAAAAACACATTAATTTTAATGGATACTATCGGTGTGGTAAGGATAATATTGATCAATAAGGTTTGCTAAACATTAGCATTTATATTGCTCAGTAAGGTTTGCTAAGCACTTTGACATGTTATTTCACCTGATTGTCACAAAATTCCTGGGAGGTTGATGCTATTATTATTTCTGTTTTGCAGAAGAGGAAACTGAGGCCAAGGGAAGTTATGTGACTTGTCCAAGGTCCTATAGCTAGAAGTTTCTGAGACAGGATTTGATCTCTGGTCTTGCTGACTCTAAATCCAGCATTTTTTCCACGTGCCACCTAAAAGAGTTATAAATTAGAGGCAAAGTAGCCTTTCAGAAAGAGAAGTCAAAGATTTTCTCATTGCTGCCTTTAGACCCCTCTGGTACATATTCTTGAATATAGTCATTTCTTTTCTTTGTTCCTTCAGACTTTTTTCCTAGATTGTTTAACAATTCTGCTTGTTGCTTTGACCTAAATTAGAGCTTTTAGAATCTTTGGTTGTTACTTGACAGCTTTAGAAGTTCTACCTGGAATGTCATTCTTTCCGTTGCTCTAGAAGGAGTGTTATTCCCTTTAAAAACATTCAGAATATTGTTTCATCTCTGTGAAGTGAATGAATACTTTAGGAAATTTGGATATAGAAAGCAGCCCAGAAGTAGTTACATTGTCTTCATTTTTCAAATCAGAGTGCAGGAGGCAATTGATGAAGTGGCTTTGGAATTGAGTTCTGGAGATGGCTCTGCTCAGCAGCAATCGAAGTCTATCAGCAAAGTGAAGAAGAGAGCTAAGCAGATTCTTCAAGAAATGGTCGCTAACGTCTCACCAGCAATGATCAGGTAATGGCAATCAAGAAAATTAGTAAGAACAGAATCAAGAAATGGGTTTGAAGTTCCTATAACGTATAGAACATACGCTCATTGTCAAGGATGAGATGAAGATGTAGTTCCCATCCTAAAGAAATTTGCAGTCTTGAAGTGAGATGCCACACTTACAGAAACATCTGTAATGTTAGGTGGAACATTGGGTCATTACAGACATAGATGGTATTTTGGGAGGCAGAGATAAAGAATGGAGCATTTCAAGGATAGGGAGCAATGTGAGCAGAAGCATAGTGATGGGGGGGAGATTGTGGACAGGGACAAAGGTCAGGGACAAAGCATGTAGTCCGGTTTGGCTATAATGTAAAGGGAGTAGTATTGACAAATAAGGTTGTAAAAGAAGGCGATAAGCTATGACATGAAAATACATTGCATCCTTATAATCTCTTTTGCATCCATCTACCTTCCTTTCTGTTTTCACTACCATCACCTTAATATAGTCCTTCAGTGTTCCCTACCCCATCAATGCCCTCCTTTCCATCTTTGCCTCCTGAAATCCCACCTATGTCTGTAATGATCTAATGTTCATTTAACATTATAGATGTTTCTATATGTGTTGCATTCCTCTGAGTTTTGCTAGCTGTAAGTTTGGCACCTCTACTCTAATCTTCCCGAGTGTAGCTTGAACCAGATTGAAATGTAATTGGGAAATGCTTAATAAAATAAATATACAATACAACATAGATAATGTTAATTTGTGATTTTAGAAAATCGTGTCAATACATGGCCCATAGATCTCTTTCTAGTTGAGTTTGGTACCATTGGGTTATAGGATCATTTAGAGTTGGAAGGGATTTTACAGATATTTTTGGTCGGTTTGGTCCTTGATTTAAAGATGATGAAATAGGCCAAATAGGTTAAATGACTCACCCAAGGTTAAATAGATTAGTTTAGTAGCATAGAAAAGATTAGTAAAGGGGAAAGTCTAAATGCAGACAACTCAGAGAAGGCTTCCTTGGTAATTAAGTGAATGATATTAAGGGCCTGTATGACAGGATGGTGTCATACAGATGATGGTAGTGAGAATAGAAAGGAGGGAGGATGGATGTCAAAGAGATTATAAGGCTACAGTGTATTTCCAAGCAGTAGCTTATCCTATCCCCCTTTCCCTCAGGACTCAATAAGTATATTTGGATATTCTCTGAAATGTTATAAAAACCCTAGTTGAATGACTACTACTTGTGTTCTTACCTCAACTATCTTGCTAACCTCTTTTCTATTTCTCTAAGCAAACTGTTTTGCCAGGTGTATATGAACAAAGAACACACTAGATTCATCATTTTGTTTCCTTCAAATTTCAGTTGACTGTGGTGGTATTTGCTTCTGAGATCTAAGTTATATTAAAATCTAGTCACATATGACTGAAGCTGATTCTTTTTTAGCTGATAAACTATACTACATTAATGAGTTCTGCAGGAACAGTAAAAGGCCAGTCAGGAGGCCAATAACTTGCAATGAGCTACTGGTCAGGTTTTTGGGGTAAAAATGAGGGTAATGTGATGCCCATTATAATTAATGAATCTATAAATGAACACATGCTGGGTTTCATTGACCATTATGTCAATCCAGTTGTTTGCAGATAGTTTTAATTACAAATAGCTGCTAAGCTGGTGGTGAGTGACATTTGAGCAGAGGAGCATCTTAGCATTTTGTTTTCTCCTAGGCTGACTGGATGGGTGCTACTAAAACTTTTCAACAGCTTCTTTTGGAGTGTTCAGATTCACAAAGGTCAACTTGAGATGGTCAAAGCAGCCACTGAAGTAAGAAGATTAGTCTTTTTGTTGACTTTTAGTAAGCCATTTACCCTTAGCCCCCCATGTTTACTAAAACACTTTTTTTAGTTTCAAATATTTTGCAAGGTTCTTTTTTTTTTTCTTTCTGAGGGACATGCCCCTTTTTGTGGGATCCCTCATTATTAGAAGTCTCTGTGGTAGCTGTATGCGGTCTAGATTAGATGGGATGTTAGTTTCACCTCTTAGTGATTGTTGGCAGTTTTCATTGTTTAAAGCATTTTGTTGGTAGTGTTGTAGCCTCGATTGATTTATTTGCTAAATGTTATGCTAAAATTTACCATTTGTATTTGCCTTTTAATTTAAAATTGCATATCTTTTTTCTTCCCTCCAATCAGATGAATTTGCCTCTTATTTTCCTACCAGTTCATAAATCCCATATTGATTATCTGCTGCTCACATTCATTCTTTTCTGTCATAACATCAAAGCACCATACATCGCTGCTGGCAATAACCTGAATATACCTATCTTCAGGTAAGAATCAATCAGCTTAATTTGAAATTCAAAGTAAAACTGATACAAGTTTAGTTTGAGGTTTTATTTTGTCCCCTTTATTCTGTAGCACAATTTTTTTTTGCTTTTAGGCAGTTGGGGTTAAGTGACTTGCCCAGGGTCACACAGATAGTAAGTGTCAAGTGTTTGGTCTGAGGTCGGTTTTGAACTCAATTCCTCCTGACTTCAGGGCCAGTGCTCTATCCACTGCGCCACCTAGCTGCCCCATCTAGCACAATTTTTATATAGCATATTTGGCAAGTGGAAACTTGAAGCTTGTTAGGGAATGTATCAGTGGAAAAAGACAGGTAGGAAAGAGAATGACTTTAAATCATCAAATCTCAACTTTAACTCTTCAGAGTGAGAAGTGCAACATCTGTATACATTGAGATTTCCTTTATCATTTGCGGAGAACACAAAAAAATCCAAATTGTAGGAGTGAAAAGGATGACAAGAAATTAATAATGATAGCTAATATTTATATAGCACTTACTTTGTGTTAGGCGCTGCTGTGCTAAGTGCGTTACAGTGTTATCTCATTGGATCCTCACTATAACCGGTGCTGTTATTATCCTTATTTTACATATGAGGAAACTGAAGCAAATGGGTTAAGTGACTTGCCCTCAGGGTGTTGTTTTCCCTGACTCCAGGCCTGGTGGTCTCTCTACTGCACCACCTAGTTGCCTGATTAGCATGTGGTGTAATAACTTGATATTGTAATTGAACAATATTGTTAAAATAAATAGAAGATCATTAACTTTTGATTGTTAGACATGCTGTGAAATTTCCAAATCAGCTGTTATTAGTGATTATTTCATCTGGACAGAGTTCTTCTATAAAAAACATTTGTTTTGTAGCAAAATATGCCACAGGCAGGCATTCTAGCACTTGGGTATTTTATAGAAACTTGCATAAGGATTTGATATTCAAGTGTAGCATAAAGTGCCTAAGCATAAATCACACTGTCAGTTTTGAGAAGGTAAAGATCACATATAGGCCCCTTTGATTTGGAACCCATTATAATCGAGCCTGTTTTTGAATAGGTAGAATAGCTCAAAAGATATATATGTATATGATTCTTATAATGGCTGAAAGAATCAAATGCTGAGTATTTGAAAGATTTGGGTTTTGAAAGATGAAGTTATCTTTTCTGCACTTAAATGATACATTCTTTCATTTTTACAGTACACTGATCCATAAACTTGGAGGCTTTTTCATACGACGAAGGCTAGATGAAACATCAGATGGACGAAAAGATACTCTCTACAGAGCTTTACTCCATGGAGTATGTGTTCTCTCTAAAGCTACTGTGTTAGTTACCTGAGAAGAAAGTTATAACTTGTCTTGATATTTTGATTTTTTACTAAAGTAAGGAAGAGACAGTGTGGTAGAAGGAATAGAGAGTCTGCCTTGGAGGCAGGAAGACCTGGATTCAAGTCTTGCCTTTGATGGGCCATAGTGATTCCAATGTTAATATTGTGCAAGTCCTGCAATTTCTTTGTCCCATTTAGCTCTCTAAGACTGTAAGTTATAGATGAGTTGCCAATCTGCATTGCTAAATGGAGTTTTCCACAGTGGGAGATCCACACACTGATAATTATCAATCCAAACAAAATCCCCTTTCCCCTTCCCCCGAAGCTGAAGAAATGTGAAAGTTGAATGTAGGTTTTATTATTCTGTAGTGCCCCCCCCAAGCTAATGTAGGACAAGTTTCTCTGCCATTACCTTTAAAGATACTCTGCTAGTATGTGAATATTTTCTTTAATGTTTTAGTTTGCATAAATTTATTGTGATTAGTATAATGAATAGAGAGTTGACTTGGCAGTCAGGAAGACTTGGGTTTAAATTCCAATGGACACATCTGGCTGTATGTCCTGGGCAAACTACTTAACCTCTCAGTGTTCCAGGCTTGAAGGCTTTAGCTGCAGAGCAGGTGTCAGTTCTCATTGAGCGTGAGGAAATGAAACCAATGAAATTGTAGTTTGGGTTGGAGGAATAAAAAAAAGCGTATGGTAAGTTTTATGATCTTGACTTACTGTTTTGTTTTGTCCTCCTCCCTTAGCACATAGTAGAATTGCTTCGACAACAACAGTTTTTGGAGATCTTTTTGGAAGGAACACGTTCTCGCAGTGGAAAAACCTCCCATGCTAGGGCAGGCCTCTTGTCTGTGGTAGTGGATACTCTTTCTACCAATACCATTCCTGATATTTTGATAATCCCTGTTGGAATCTCCTATGAGCGGATTATTGAAGGTCACTACAATGGTGAACAACTGGTAAGACTGTCTTTTAACGTTGAGTAAAAAAATAGGGGTTTTTTGGGGGGGGGTGGGGGGTACAGTCAGAAGGGCTCTGTCATCCATACCACTTTCTTGCTTTAATATAGTTAATGTTTTTGGTGTTAATCAGTAACAAGTATTGAGCACACCCTCTTTGCAAGTCAGATATTTATTAAGCTTGTATGGGGTGTGAGGCACTATGGAAATAAAGACTTGAGGTAGGATCACAACATAAATACAGATAGTAAACATAAGATGATTTGAGGAGGGCAAGCTTACTAACAATTGAAAGCATGAAGGAAAGATTCATGGAGGAGATAGCAACCTTGAAGGAAGAGAACAGTTCTGAAATGTGGAATTGAGAGAGTACTTTTCAGGCATGGGTAGCAGTTTTGTGACTGAATGGAGTTGGGAGATAGAATACCTGGGTTGGGTAATTATCTAGTGTGGCTCTAGAATGAATGATAATGATAGTTGAAATTTATGTAGTACTTTCGGATTTGCAAAGTGCTTTATATAATTGTCTCATTTGAAATGACAAATAAGAAATAAGAATGAAAAGGTAGGTTGGAACCTAATTGTCAAGGGTCTTGAAACACCAGATTGAGGAGTTTGTATTTTATCCTACTGACAATGATGAACTGCTGACAGTTTGAGAACAAGGAATTGGTTGTTTAGGTGCGGATTCTGTTAACAATGTCCAGCTCAGAGGTCCAGGAAGGTGGTGACAGAAATAATTTTTAGACTTATGTGATATCATTAGCAGCTTTGAGAGAGCAGTTTCTTTACAGTATTGTAGTTAAAAGTCAGATTGCAAGGAGTTGAAATGAGTGCAAAGAGCCCATGAATTTTTTATTTTAGAAAACGTGGTTTATTTCTTTCCAAGCTGGTTATGGATGTAGTATTAATTCTTCGAGGAAATGTTCTGAGTCAGAAGTACTTCTAGGAAAACTTGATTTCCTTCTTGTATTGGCTTTTCCTTCCTGGGTCTGTACTCCACAGCTGTTGGAGTGGCAGCCCTGTAGAGGCTCAAGTGGGAGTGGGTCTTAGGTATGATTGTGAGAAATTTCTCTTTGGAGTTGTTTGTGTACAAGCTCTGAATGCATAAGGACAAAATAAAGACTAAACCACTACTAAAGGAATTTGATATCAGTTTTAAGGATTCACTTTGGGCCTAATTTAGTTTTAAGGCTTTTAAACATTGTTTATCTTCAGTTAGGTGCCAGTTTTCTGATGTGTCAATGAAGGACATCAAATCACACATTTGATGACTTAGAAACTTTAGAAATTTGATGGTTAAACCCCATTCAGAGGTCAGGATAGGAAATATAGATCCAGATACTCACACTCACCAGAAGAGTTTAATGTTAAAAATATTCTGCCAACTTCTACTGTATATTTTGTAAGTTCTTCTTCACCTGGTCATGTTTTTCAAGTTATACCTTTAGCTTTTTAAAATTAAATTTTTTCAATTATCAAATTCTTTTTCTCTCTGCCACCTCCAGGGGGTAGGGGAGGGGAGAAAAACAAGACTTCTAACAAATATGAATAAGGAAGCCAAACAAATTCCCATGTTGGCCATGTCCAAAAATATATCTTAATCTGTATCTTTAGTCCATCACCTCTCATGAGAAGGTGGACAGCGTTCTTTATTTGTCTTCTGGAGTTAGGATTGATCATTGTGTTTTAAGAGTTTAAGTCTTTCAAAATTGGTTGTTTTTGTAATGTTGCTATTATTGTACAATAGTGTTCTACTCATTTAACCTTACATCAGTTCATGCAAGTCTTCCTTCCCAGGTTTCTGAAATCCTCTATTTCATATACAACAAATAATACAACAGATTTCCATTACATTCATATTTCATAATTTATTAAGCAATGCCCCAATTGATGGGCACCCTCTTGGTTTTCCACTATGAAAAGCTGCTATAAATGTATTTATATGGATAGAACCTAAATCAAAAGGTATGCACTGTTTAGTAACTTTTGGGGGTATAGTTCCAAATTGCTTTCCAGAATAACAACTAATTTACTGCTCATCAACTGTGCCTTTTTTCCTGCAGCCTCTCCAACACTTGTCACTTAACTTTTTTGTCCATTTTGCTACTCTGATAGGTGTGAGGTGGAACTCTCAGAGTTGCTTTAAATTTGAGTTTATCTAATCAGTAATTAGTTGGAACATTTTATTCTTATGGCTATTAGTGGCTTGGATTTCTTTCTCTAAAAATGCCTGTTTATAATAACTTTGACTATTTATTAATTGGAGAATGGCTCTTAGTCTTATAAATTTGAATCTCTTTCCTGTATGTCTTTCTTGAAACTGAGACCTTTGTCAGAGTCACTTGCTGCAAAGATTTTTCTCCCAGTTCACTGTTTTCCTTCTCATCTTGGTTGCATTGGATTTGTTTGTGCAACTCCTTAATTTTATATGATTTAACTTAGACATTTTATCTTCTCTTTTAGCTTTCATAAACAACACTGCTACTTTGGCCAGACAAAGAATTTGTTTTAAGGGTTTTTTTGCCCAATTTTCCTTTTTTCTTGATTACTTGTCAGGGTAAACCCAAGAAAAATGAAAGTTTGTGGAGTGTGGCAAGGGGAGTCTGTCGTATGTTGCGTAAAAACTTTGGTTGTGTCAGAGTGGACTTTGCGCAGCCATTCTCCTTAAAGGTGAGTGAAAAACATCAAGACACTGTGCAAGATGGAGTGGCAGGCTGAGTCAGGACATCTTGATTCCACTTATGGACTTTGAGTAGCTCCAAGTCTTTTAGTCCCTCTAGACCTCAGTTTCTTCATCTGTAAAGTTGGGAGATTGGGTTTGAGTCCTCATCAGTTCTGTCGTCCTAAGATTGGAAATGGGAATGAGAGATAAGCAGTGGATATGGGGAGCGAACCCAAGATGCAGGGACCTCTTCATCATGGCCATTTTTCTTTTACGTAAGAATGTTAGCGTGCCATGCCTGATAATACGCATCCATAGTGTTTCAATATTCATACGGTTAAGGCTATTCACAACTTTCCCCTGCTACACATATCTCTAGATCCTTTCCCAAGCTTTTTACAAGATAGCTTCTGCATTTGGTTACATGCTAATTCTCTGTAATCTCGTATTATAGCATATGTGATTCATGTACTACAAAGTTCATTGGTGAAATTGTTGTGCTGGCTATCACTGTTAATACTGTATGCCTTTTCTATATAATTAAAAAATAAATTTGGAATTCGAATTCCCTGTAGGTGATGATAATCAAGTGGGAAAAAATGAGTTAACTGAAAAGTTCCAGTTTGATTTGGAAGCTGTCTTAGGTCAGTGGTTTCTAACCTATGGGCTGCAGATCATTGAGGGGGTGAGTTCATGAATCCAAATTTGCACCAGCCATTCTTATTTTATATTTTCTCAGTAAGTGGAAACCAGGGCTACAACTAATATTACTTGGGGTTCCATGTAATTTTTAGACATTCAAAGGGGTTTTCATAGTCAAAAGGCTGCGAAACCACTGAGCTAATTTAGCATTGCAAAATGTTAATTTGCATTTGGTTTTATATTTAATTTAAATATGTCCTTTTATAGTTCTTTTGAAGACTAGATGGATGTATTTCTCATTATGCTGAGTGTCATGGTTCATTGAAAAACTGCCTTTTTCTTAACTTATAACTTGTTTTCTAAAAACAAAAATTAGATGCTGTAATGAGAGTGAAATATCATGGTGTAATTTTACAGGAATACTTAGAGAGTCAAAGTCAGAAACCTATGCCTGCCCCGCTTTCCTTGGAGCAAGCTTTGTTACCAGCTATACTTCCTTCAAGGTAAAGTTTTCAGAATACTTGGTTTATTATTAATTTAGAGAAATGAAAATAACTTAGAAAAAGTTTGCATGTGTTTTCATTGTCTTTTTCCTGTAATTTTTCTGATGGCCTCAGATAAGATTTTGAATCTCATTATTATCTTGTTATGAATGTTTTATTATTTCTAGAATATGTTCTTGAACTAAGGGTCCAGTTACCATTTATGAATTATCCATAGATGAATATGTGAGTGTTTCATCTGTTGTGGTTTAAATTAGTTCTAGTAATAGGTTTTGCATATTACATGTTAATTCAATTTGTAAAACAACCTTAGTGTTTTAATTTCACAGAATTTTTCATCAGAGCAATTGAATAAGGCCTTGCTTTAGGAGCGGTTTCAAAGCTGTTGAACTCTGAAGTGTGTTTTAATGAGATTGTCATGGTGTGCTTCTTGTTGCAAGCATCCTTGGGTGAAGCGTTACTGGGATGAGTGACACATAGTGATAGTTTAAATATATGTTACGTTTCTTGGGTATAATATTTAAAGCTAGATTCATTAGTTTGTTAATGTAGAAAAGCATCTTGTTTTTAGGAACCGAGAAATTTTAAATCAGTTATCCGTAGGGTTTGATGACTTAGCATGCCTTATAACTTAAAGTGCATTTTATTTTTTGCTCTATGTGCAAGACAAATGAACTCTTTTTAACTTGCTTGTAAGAAGATTGCATACACTGTCATACACAGTCACTTTATGAGCTGTTTTTGCGTAACTTTTAAGTAACGAAAGGGGTGATTAAATACTAGGAGCAGATGGCATATACAGTCATGACTGATATAAAAACAAAAAACTTAAAATTTTTTCTTAAAGTTGAGACTCATTAAATATTCATTTTAAAATGTATATTGAAATTTTTTCTTCAGACCTAATGATGATGCTGCCGATGAAGGTAGAGAAGCTACAGTTAATGAATCCAGAAATGTAAATGATGAGTCATTCAGGAGGAAGTTAATAGCAAATCTTGCTGAGCACATTATGTTTAGTAAGTGAAATATCAAAGCATTTGAAACTGAATTATATTTTGTTTTATTTTAAAGCTTAATTGATTTTATTTGGCTTACTTGGAGTCATATGTTTCTGTGTGTGTTTTGGGGACTTTTTTTTTGATGAGTTAGTAATTGTTTTCATGTTCCATCTATAAATTTGCATTATACATACAGATTATCATATACATCTCTTAAAGTAGATTTGCTTTAGATTTCCAACTAACTACATCATGAACTATTTCTGGTTTAGTAAATTCAGTGACTGAGCCTCTTACGTGAATTATAATAAGTGTTAAAAATGCAATATTTTTCTTCTCATTCAGTTTTTCCTGAAAACATCGTACTTGGAATAAAAGTTAAATGAGGTGAACTTTGTGGGCTTAGTCCTACAGACAATTTGTCTCATTTGCAGACTTTACTTGGGCCCTGGAGCTTTTAGGTCTACTTGATGTTAAAGATTTTGTTATAGGAAACATGCTTAAGATGATTACAGGGTCCTGTGCAAGTATTTTGTGCAAACAGACTTCAGAAAATTATGAGACACATAAAAATACAGCCATAAGAAACTCTTCTTTCTCTTTCCACCAACATCACCAGCTGATTGAATTGTCATTCACCAACTGGCTAATCAATTATGGTTCTAATGGATTATTATACCTAATTGAGTGGCCTGATGTTGATTGATGCAGTACCCTTGAAGGATCTCCTGTTTCCACTCCCTTCTGTTTATTTGACACAGCAAATCAAATTCTTTGCTGAGGGCAAAATAGTACAAATTTGAGCTGTACTCTGAGCAGAGGAAGAGCAGAGGACATTACTAAGCCCTCATTTGAGCTTAAACACGTACTTTAGCATGTTATAAGTAATTGGCATGAGGATAGCCTACTGGGTGATGGGCCCATATGGAGCAGTGCCACCAAAATATCCCGTGTGATTACAGCTTTGGCTACGCAATTACTATTCATGTACAAAAAGACAATGATATGTCTATATGGGAAAGCTCTCCTCTTCCTTTAGTTGAGTGACCTGTGTGTTTTTAGTTACAATCTCCCCTGGTTTGGGATGCAAAGTCTAATCTTTCCTCTAGTTTTCTCAGCTACATTGTATTTTTTACTGCTTTTGATGGAGCCTTCAAATTAATATACGTAAAGAAAATGAGGGTGAGTACAAACTTGAGAATTTAAAAATGGACTTCTTAATGATGCCAGTAACATTGCTTCTGTGACTTTTATTATTAATATTAAAGTATAACTATGGTCTGGGAAAGAATGGAAAGGACTTGGTGGTTTAAAAGAAATTTGCAAATAGATATGTTCAAGAAAACAATAAAAAAAATCGGTTACTAGATGTTATAAACTTCTGATCTACCATTGTTTAGTATCGGTGAAGACTGTTAATTTGATCCACTTAACATCTTAAACACCTTCTGGTAATGTCCTTCTTTCCCATTCTTTCATGTTCACTTATCTGTTTGATTTATAATTTGTGTTTTTGAATATTACTCCAAATGTTCTTTTATGAATTACAATAATATGCTGAGAAAAATTTAAACAGCAGGGTATACCTGGAAGAATGGTGAAGACATGGAGGTATAAATGAAGTAGATGAGAGTCTGGAGCAAGTAACATTATATGAAGGATTATCCTCCAGTAAAGCCTTTTCCTATATTGATAATTTTTGGAGGGACAGTATGGTGAATTGGGATCAGAAGACCTAAATTGAAGTCTCAGCTCAGCTAATTTCTAGTGATGACAAAGCTACCTAACCATTTCAAAGAATGTTATCCCCATTTTCAGGTGAGGAAACTGAGGTCTAGAGGTTATCCCATAGGGCTATTAGGAAAATACTTCGTATGCACCTGTGGATTGTTGCCATCCATTTAGTAAGTGCTTACTTTGTACTTCACACTTTTTTAAATGTATAGTAAATCAAAGGAAACATTGGATGGCATCAGGACTCAAGGAACTTATAATCTGAGGAAATACAAGGACATCAATATGCTACAAGTTAGTGTATTGAACCTGTGTGAGAGAAGTACAAAGCTCTGTGGGACTGCTGTCTTGGTGAAACTGTCCTTCCTTTTAGGGATATGTCGGGAAGCAAAAGAGCCAAACCCTTTTGAAGAGAGTCTGTACTGGATCCACCACATAACTGACTCTTCTTTATGTTGAAGAATATTTTATAACTAGGCTCCAGTGTGTACACAGAGCCTATCAGTGATAGACTTATAATAAATTTGCCAGTAGCTCGTTTATCATCCTTAAATATTTTTTATTTAAGGCACAGATGTTTTCTAAGTGAAGAGGTAGCTGGCGGCTCAGTGGGCAGAGCGCTAGGCCTGGAGTTAGGAAGACCTGAGTTAAAATCCAGCTTGAGACACTTCCTAGCTGTGTGTCCCTGGGCAAGTCACTTAACCTCTAATTTCCTGACAGAAGCATCCACTGGACAAGGAAATGGCAGCCACTACAGCATTTTTGCCAAGAGAACTCCACGTACAGCTATGTGGTCACAAAGAGTCGAACACAACTTGGAACAACAACAAATGTTTTCTAAGTTATGTTAGAAAGCTTAAGCCTTTTTTTTTCTTTCTTCTAGCTGCTAACAAGTCATGTGCTGTTATGTCAACACACATAGTGGCCTGTTTACTACTCTATAGACACCGGCAGGTAAGTCTATAATGTTTTATACATCATAAAATATTTGTTAGAGTGTCTAACATATTTAATTAACCTGTTTAATTGAACATCTGCTGTGTATTCAGCCCCATGTTAGGGGCTGTGAAATACGAAAGATAAGAGTAGGACAAGTTCTGGGTCCCCAAGAAGTTCATTCTTGTTGGAGAAGTGCACAGTGTACGTGTGGAACAGAATATAAAATCAGATGCTTTTTGTGTATGATAAATTGCTTAGTACTGAAGAAGCTATATAGAATTCATTGTTAATGTTTGTAGTTGGGAAGCTACTTGAATTTACATTTCTCTCTTCCCAAAGTGAGGAGAACACTGTCCAGATTGCAGATTGTTTTAAATAGTTTTTTCCCTTTGTTCATCTTAAGTATTTTTAACCTGAATTCTGATGACATGTAAATAGCCATTGGTCTTTCCATCTGTGGCCTTGTGGGTGACCTACGCTTTTTATATTTTACTTGCTTTGTGACCTAGCTTTATGGAAATTTGTTGGATTTTTTTTATGTCATTTGATCCTATATCTATGTGTCCTATGGGTGAGGTTTGATTACTCTTTACATAGGGATGACATGACAAAGAAGAAACAAAAAAACCCCTTAAATATTTTTGGCGTCTTGACTTTTCCAGACAGTTACCTTAATTGTGATTAGGCTTTTTTCTATTCCTACAGGGGATTGATCTTTCTACATTGGTAGAAGACTTTTTCATTATGAAGGAGGAAGTGCTGGCTCGGGATTTTGACCTGGGATTCTCAGGAAATTCAGAAGATGTCGTGATGCATGCAATACAGCTTCTGGGAAACTGTGTAACCATCACCAACACCAGCCGAAATGATGAATTCTTCATTACTCCAAGCACAACTATTCCTTCTGTTTTTGAACTTAATTTCTACAGCAATGGGGTGCTACACGTCTTCATCATGGAGGCCATTGTGGGTTGGTAGATCCATGGCACATATTAACTAAGACTAGAGAAGACTAAGTTTTAAGTGCCAAAACAGAGCCTTATGGTTTAAAAAAACCAAACAACATAATTAGATGTTGTCTCATTGTGGTAGAACTGGGCAGAAAAAAAATATCAGAAAAGGAAAAAACTCATATTTATTTACTTAGTCAGCAAGTATTTATTCAACACCTACTGTGTGCATAGTACTGTGATGTGTACTGATTGAAATAGAGAAGGAAACAAGAAACCTGCCCTCTGGGAGCTTTCATTTTTGTTGTGAAGACAGAATGAGATGTACACATAGGAAATGTTTAAATAACAATGTAAAGGCAGAATATGATGAAATGCCTACAAATGTAATACAGATAATATGTGTGACAAAAGTTCAGACGAGGGGAAGCTTATAGGATCAGAGTTGGAAGGGGCTTCTGAGGCCATCCAGCTTAGATCAGTGTAGGCTGAAGTGGTTGGAGAAGGAAAGTTTCATGGAAGAGAGTGGGAGCTGAGCTGCAAAGCTAAGCTAGATGTGCCTGGCCACGGGGAGTGATTCATTTAAAATTCAATAAATATTTCTATGGAGACCATTTTCTTAAATAACATTAGTTTGCAGTTACTGTCTTATTTTAGACACTTAAACATTTGGCCAGTTTAGTCATATTATTAGGGTGAAGGGTTAATCTTGTATTGCTTTTCTAAGTTTCTTTTAGAAAGTTGAAGCTCCTCTTTCTCATTTTTTGTTTTCATTTGTTTAGCGTGCAGCCTTTATGCCATCCTGAATAAAAGGTGCTCTGGGGGTACTGGAGGTGTATCACCCAGCATGATTAGCCAGGAACAGCTTGTCCGCAAGGCTGCTGGCTTATGTTATCTGCTTTCTAATGAAGGCACCATATCACTAGTAAGTGAACATTTAATCATGGTGTTTGTTCCTGTTTATTTCCTTTTCTTGAAAATGTTCTTGAAAAGATTATTGCAATCTTTTTCTTATTTTTTTTTCTCCTATGCTACTAGCTTTTTATTTCCATCTTGACACATGAACAAAATTCATTATATATGTTGGTTTACAACCATCATTGTACACAGCTGTGGAAATAATAGATTTAATTGATAAGACTATCAGTAGAGGCTTTATTATATTTGCCCTCTAATAAAATCTTACCCGAATGCCTTTTTGTGGCCTGGTGTTGGCTGTAGCTTCTTGAAGGCTGTGCCATCAGACCTCAAACTCTGCCAGCAATCTGGAAAGGCTTTGAATATAACCTAATGATAGATCACTTCAGGATCAAATATAAAATCCTCTGTTAACGTAACCTGGCCCATTCACACTTTTCCAAACTTGTTGGACTTTATTCTCCTCCATGAGCTCTTGTGATATGGCTAAACTAGCCTCCTTGTTGTTCCTTGCAATTGACATCCCACGTCACATTATTGTACCTTTCCCTCAGCTCAGCCATCACCCTTCCATGCCTGGACTGCTCTTTCTTCTCTCCTTCCTCTTTTTCTTTCAAGTTCAGCTCAGGTTCTTTTGCAAGAAGCCTTCCCTGGTCCCACTTGTTGCTTAGTGTGTGCTCCTCTTGAGATTTAACTTTGGTCTGCTCTTTATTTTGTACGTACCTATTTACATGTCTTCTCCACTCAAACATAACTTCCTGGAGGACAGTGGCTTTTTTTTTTTTTTACCATTTTTCAATTTTTAATGCTTAGCATAGTGCCTTGCACGTAGTAAATGCTTAATAAATGCTTGTCCATTGATTGTTTGAACAGTATTTTGTAGAAGAACCATTATAGTTAAGTTCGGAGAAGTTCATCACCAGCTCGGCTGAAAAGGCGATACCTTTTTTTGCCATAACAGCTCTCAGATATTGCTGAATTAGAAAGGCGTTTCAGTGTGTGCCAGTGGAAGGAGCAGTATGTGCTCTGAGTTAGAGCACCTCAAAGTGGAAATATGTGCAGGGCACCGTGTATGAATGTGTTTACATATGTTCCTTGTTCTTGATAGACTTGAAATGAATGTTTTACATTCTCCAAACATTGATGATGATACCATAAATTAGGGCTGGAATTAACCATAGAGATGGTCTAGTCTCATTCTAGCATTTTACAAACAAGGAAACTGAAGACCAGAATAACAAAGTTAAACTTTTACCTTCTGATAGAATGTAAGTTGTTTCAAATTGTAGTAATTGCCTCATTTTGTCAGTGTGGTACTAAGTTCTTAGAATGAACACAAATAAATATCTGTTGAATTGTTTTATTTTGGTGGTTTGTAATCGATAAGTATGTTAACTCAAGAGTGAGATATGCCACAATGATCCATTGGTGACCACAGAACATTCTAGACTGTATTTTATCCTCTTGTCCTTTTTCTTATGTAAGATATCATGAGGATATCATTGGAGAATTCCTTGGATACTGGTACCTGATTTTCTGTGTGTAAATTGAGGTATATCAGCAACGGAAGGGAGGTGGAAGGTTATACTCTCTAGGCTGGAGGGGGTTGTCTTCTTTTCCCTTATAGAAGTTTCTGAATGTTTCACTTCCCCATCCGTAAGTGGTATATTAAGGTAATATTTTCTAGGGGAAGGTGTTTCTTAAACAGAAGAAAATGTTGTATATGTTCATTCTAAGCAGCTCTTTAGCCTGATCCATTTGTTTGGGAGAAAATCAATTTAGTAAGGACCCAAGTATACTTGGTGCTGTGGGAGATGCTAACCTGAATAGTTAAACAAGATACCTTCTCTTTTTTCTTTTGGAGCTTACATTCAAAGAGAAGGGGGTGATTTTGAAAAAAAAAAGGCTTGGGAGTAAGTTACAATTTGCTTTGTCTGGTGGTGTTTAAAAAATATGACGATAATGTTTATTAGCTACCTGATAAAACGCTTTGATACAAATGTGCCGAATGTTCACTTCTAAAATATTTTCCTTTTCAGCCTTGTCAGACATTTTACCAGATTTGTCACGAAGCAGTGGGAAGGTTTATTCAGTATGGCGTTCTTGTGGTGGCAGAGGTAAGATGGGTCATTTACCTTTATTTTTGGATCTGACTCCTTGTCCTCTCCACCAGTTACTTTCTACATTATCTCTTTATCAGTAGAGGGAATATCGTAGCCTGGAATAACTTCAGATTGTTAGTACTAGATTCTGCAGTATTGTGGGCACAGTATGAAAGCTACCTTGATGTGATACATGACCTGTAGAACTGTATGTTCTAAGGTAAGATATCATACTGTTTTGTGACATTCCTCTGGCATAAGGAAATCTGTCCTGGGAGGACACAGGTTCCCCTTTTGACTCTTGCTTTGTAAGACTGAGCTCCCAGTGCTCAAGCCCCAACCAGAGATGCAACTATCAGAAGGGAGAGTCCCTATCTGGGGACCTAGTTTATTTCTAAGGAAAGGCCTGTGGGCCAACCAGAGATGTTGAAGAAAACAAACCCATCAATGAATTTGAATGCTGTGAATAGTGTTATAACAACGGCAGCCCAGCTAATGTTCAGTTACAAATAATGAAGAAGAGTCGGGGGGATGGAGGGGAGAAGGGAACCTGATGTACGAGTCAGACATCTACGTATTAACAAGACTAACGCTCAGGTAAGGGTGGTGCTGTGTTGGAGAGCGCAGAGACATAGGTCCATTCAGGTGGTTTATTTAAGTGGCAAGGCTTGGTACCCTGGGAGTGGCATGCTCCAGGGAGGGGAGATGTGCTCCTGAGGAGGAAAGACCTTCTCCTGGGGAGGGGAGAGCTATTCTAGTGGAAGGGAGTTATACTCCAAAATACCCTTCTGAGAGTGGAATACTTAAAACCCTGTTTTAGATGACTGTCTAGACCTGGCTGATTTGCATGTCAAAGTTCAGAGAACATAGGGGATTTTACATGGGTGCAGGGGAGGAAGACAAACTGAGAGCTGACAAGTAGCATTTTTGGACACACAGCTATCTATAGCAGTGGTTTCATGCATAGATTCTATAAGGTACAGCCTCCCTTATGAGGAGTCTGTCATGGTGGTCTTACAACATGTGTGCATATGCAATGCAATCAGTTGGTCTTTCACTAAGTAACCTCTCCTTCCTTAAAGTTTAATCAATTCTTAACTACTTCACAGCAAAATTTTGGTAGCTACTCTCTACTGACCTCAAGGACACCCCTCTTCTTTCCTCAATGTGTTCAAAACTCGACTTGGTCTTTCTCTCATCCCCAACTCCTATCCTCATACTGTGGGACTTCAAAACATGTGTTGGTACTTCCTCAAAGATACTAGCCTCCCAGTTCCTCATCTTAACTCATTTCTTTGTGGCCTACTCCTCCATCTCACCTCAACTGCACACTGAGTTGATATGTGATTTTGCCATCATCCACAGATGCACCATTTCTATGTTCATGAGTTCTGAAATTCCCTTTTCAGATTACAATCTATTGTCGTTTCACCTCTCCTCTCTTTTTTGTCCTCACCATACCTTTCAATCCTTTGACCCCTCAATTCTTTCCCAAGGGTGCAGTGGCTTCCTTCTCTTTCTCCACCTTGACCCCGACCCCTTAATGAACCTTACAGTCTCTCCTTAAGTCCCTTGCTCCTCTCATCTTCTTGCTGCTCTTGCCTGCCAACCCTCAGCCTTGGATTATTCCCATCATCTTTTACTTTCACACCACTCACATGCTGATCAATGAAGCCAGAAAAAAATAATGAAACAATCTTGAGTAGATCTACTACAAATTTATGTTACATAATCTCATCTAGGTCCTCTCTGAGGTAAGGCAATTCTTTGACACCTCATTAATTGACTTATTGTCACATGGCAGTTTTTCTAAACTATGTCCCCTGCCCTCTCAAAACTGAGACTTTTCACTGAGCGCTTCCTCTTTTCACCTCCTCCTCATCTCATGTCACCTAGATGCCTTCTCCAACTATCTCCATCTTTACTTCTATCTCACATGAAGAGGTGGCCCCTTCTCTTTGCCAAGGCAAAGTCCTCTACATGCACAAGAGACCCCATTCAATCCCATATTTTCCAGCAGATTGTCCCCTCTGTTATCCATACTCTCACTTTATTTTTAATCTCTCCCTGTATGCTGGCTGCTTCCTTGCTGCTTACAAACATGTCCATGCCTCCTCCATCTTCAAAAATCCATCACTTAATTCATCCTTGCTAGCTATTGTCCTGTATCAAATTGATCTTCCTAAAGTACAAGTCCCACCATGTCACCTCATTATTCAGTTCTCTTTCATCTCCAGGATCAAACACAAAATTTGGCTTTTAGAGCCCTTCCTTACTTCCCCCCTCCTGCCCTTTCCAGGCTTTTTATACCGTACCCCCCCACATACTCTTTGATTGAGTGACTCTGGCCTCCTTGCTGTTCCTTGCATAAGACAATCCATCTGCTGACTGCATGCATTTTTACTGGCTACACCTTATACCTGGAATTCTCTCCCTCCTCCTCCTCTCTGCCTCCAGGCATCCTTCAAGTCCCAGCTAAAATCTGCAAGAAGCCTTCTAGTGCCTTCCCTCTGTTGATTTTCTCTAGTTTCTCCTGTTTATAGTTTATTTGTACATAGTTGTTTGCTTGTTGTCTGACCTATTAGGCTGGGAGCTCCTTGAGAGCAGGGACTATCTTTTACCTTGCTTTGTATCTCTGTTCCTTAGATGGCATATTGTAGGTGCTTGATAAATACTTGTTGACTTGGTTACTTTTAACTGGTTAATGTTTATTTCAATTGTAGTTCTCCATGATGGAATTGATAGGGGTATTATGGTGAATGTGGGCAAGCAGTTTGGGGGGCAGGATTGATTTCAGCATTATTTTACTTACTTTGGTTAGTTTTTCCTAGGAATTTTAGCTAGGAAGCTGCTCCAAAATAGAGAACCACAGAGAGGTTTGTAGCCTGGACCAGAGAAGGGTTCAGAAGGGACCAACAAACCTGTAGGTATTGGGTAATTTAGTTAGACCTCAAACCTTCAATCTTTTCCTTTTTCTGTATTGTATGTCTATGCTTAGTGATCTTTGTTTGACTGTTGCACTTCTTTCCAATTTAGCAAGATGATCAAGAAGACATTAGCCCTGGTCTCACAGAACAGCCCTGGGACAAGAAACTTCCTGAGCCTTTGTCTTGGAGAAGTGATGAAGAAGATGAGGATAGTGATTTTGGTGAAGAGCAGAGAGATTGCTACCTGAAGGTATTTTTGTGGGAAATTTTGGAGTATGTGGCAGTGTGATGTTGGAGCAATTAAAAATAATGGTTCAGTTTACCAGTGTAAAGGAAATCAGGATTAGAAAAATCAGGAAGATTAGTGTGAGCGTAAAATCTTTTTGTTGATGGAAGGGTGTGTGTGTGTGTGTGTGTGTGTATGTACATGTATGTATATCTATATGTGTCTCTGTGTGTCTGTGTGTGTGATTTTTGCCTAGGTTAGGTGCTGAAGTTTTCCCTTATTCCCCAGGCATAAATGATCTTTTTGTGAATTCCCATAGTACTTTGTATGTCATATGAACTTCCACACCCTGCTTTCTGGTTATTTGTGTCCAGAGAGATCATCAGTTCTTTGAAGGCAAGGACAACATCATCGTCATCTTAATTCCCCTCAGCCTCTAGAACATTGCCCTGTATAGACTTAGTGCTCAAAAAATGGAATCGCAACAAATTTAATTCTTTTCATTAAACAATTCTTAAAGCACTTGCTATGTCCTTGGCATTCTGCTTTGCACTGGTTCCATGACAAAAATGAAATGGCCACCCCCAGAGAGCTTACTACATTCTGTTGAATTCAAACCTGTCCTTGTATCACATTCCTTGTTGCTTGTGAACGTTGCTGATTTCGCATCTCTTCCCCTTACGTGAACCCCAGAAGGACTGGCTCCAGGGGTCAGCGTGGGGAAGTAGTGACGTGGAAGTGTCATGGCTCAGAAATTTGGTTTAGGCTCGATATTGGTTAGTCTCTGCTGGCACTCTTTGGGGACTTGACTCAAAGATATTGTTTCTAGTTATTAATCCTTAGTGTCCTATATCATGGCTGATAATTTCTAGTAAGTATATGTGTGTACAAAAATACCTTTTTAAAAAAGAGTGGTAAATAACATGGTGTGTCTTTTCTAGATTCAGCCTGTTTTTGAGTGGCTCTCTTAGTTATCCAAACAATATTCCTTCAAGATTCAGTTTGCTTTTTTTTAAATGATAACTTTTACTGTTGTATTTTCCAGGTGAGCCAGTCCAAAGAACACCAGCAATTTCTCACCTTCTTGCAAAGGCTCCTTGGGCCTTTGTTAGAGGCCTATAGCTCAGCTGCCATCTTCATTCATAACTTCAGAGGCCCTGTCTCAGAACCAGAGTATCTGCAGAAGTTACACAAATACTTAATAACTAGAACAGAAAGGAATGTTGCTGTTTATGGTATGTCAAGTCATTTTTTTGAGAGGGGGTGAAGTTGGTGATAGAAATGGGGAAAGTAACTTTTATACTTTGATTTGTGAACATGATTTTAGAGTGTTAGAACAACAGATAAGAAGCTTGAATCCCAGAAACAGGGTCATGGATTGGTGAAGAAAGATGACAGTAGTGGCAGAGCTAGGCACAGAGCTCTTATGATCCACGGGCTAGGGCTTTTTCCCTTCCACCATACTGACTTTCTGCTGATAAATGGAAATCTAATGAGGCGATGTTTCTCCTCTTAACCTCAATGCCTTCATTCCTCTTCCACACACAGCTGAGAGTGCTACATATTGTCTTGTGAAGAATGCAGTGAAAATCTTTAAGGATATTGGGGTAGGTATCCATTTCTGATATTGCAGAAATTTACTTTCAGTTTCATTCCACATGTATGTAGTTGTAACTATAACATAAGCTACCCCTGCAGTGCTTGGGGGTGGGAGATAGGGATGGTGTGCATATGTGCTTTTTCAAGGTGAAAAAGACATCTGTGGATGGTAGTGAATGAGGACTATTTTATAGAATATTTTTTGGCCTGTAATCTTGCTCCTTTCAAATGCTCTTTCTCTGTAAGGCATCTTTGTAAATAACAAGTCAGTGTGTCTAGCACCACTCAAAATATCGGCTAAATTAGCAATTACATTTGTTTTTTACATTTACTTTTAAAATATGATTATGGCTATTTCTATTAAGTGAGTATTACCATGTGGCTCCACCTTAGACTTGCTGCCATTCAGTGTTATGTGTAAAATCAGTGAGGGGTAAGGAATGGCAGGCTTGACTGATGATGAGAATTTTTGAATCTGTTGAAGTTTTAAGCCACGATTTTCAAGGCTGTATTCTAAAGGTTATTCACTCACAGTTGAAATCATTCTCTGTTTGCTCAGAATTTTTTGGAATATTTTTTTTTCTGGATCTTTTCTTTGCCTTTCATATTCTGCTTTGTATTATACTTTATACTTGTACATGTAAAATGGAAGCTCCTTGAATACAGGATATGTTATTTTCCATTTTTGTATCCCTAGCACCTAGCACAGCATTTTACTGTAATAGACAGCTAATTAATTTGAATTTAATCAAAGTAATAGACTAGTACAAAACTGTTATTCTTAAAAGCGGGGATGGATTCCCATTTCCTTTACCTTTGGTGTCTTTGTGTTGTTGAAATGGCCAGGCCCCGTAGGGTAGGTGGAAGGTCAGAGTGGAACAGAGATGTAATATGAGAAATTAACATGATCTGTTCCCTTTTCTTTTAGGTTTTCAAGGAGACAAAGAAAAGAGATTATCAGTTTTGGAACTAAGCAACACTTTTCTACCTCAGTGTAACCGGCAGAAACTGCTGGAATATATTTTAAGCTTTGTTGTATTGTAGAAGAATAGTAGCACTTTTGCCTAAAGAGAAAAATACAGGGGGTGGGGAGTGGTGAGGCCAGCACAGTCTCCAGGACTGGCCCAACAGTTTGAGGTGCCATTATGTGGTAGGACCTTATCTGACTGGAACCACTGGAAGACAAGTGCCTTCTTCCCTCCATGGATTTGTGATAATCCTAATTCTGCAGTAAAACCTACAGTTAACACTTGGATATAGCCTCAGTTTGCAAATCATACATTTTAAATAACTACTTTTAAAGTCTGATTACTGTGACTTTTGCAAAAATGTAGTGATAAGCAAAAACCCCAAGCTTGTTTAGCAAACTTAGTGCTTTCAGCAAATCTACCAGGATTTTAATGCTTTTAAAAATAAGTTAAAATCATCCAATTCACTGACTTTTTTACTATCTTTAAAAAAATAGAGTAATATAATTTTTCATATATGCACCTTTTATTTGAAAGCTCTTTAACAGTTGAATGGACTAATGCTAATTGTAGCCTGGGATCAATGTTATTTTCTTTGGGCTCTGATATAGAAGATGTTTTAGAGCTGCATGAAATGAAATAGTAGCTTAGGTCAAGAAATTAAAATCATGATAAATAACATAGCAGGGAATAAACCAAGTAGGCAGAGTTCAAAAGGACCTGGCCAAGTATCTTTCACTTTTGTAAAAAGTGCCATTGAGTTTTTATTGACCATAGTATTCAACTAATCATTCAGCTAGTGTTCAGGACCTCCTGTTTTATATTCCTCTTCCTGAGGTGTGCACTTTTCACAGCATTGTGTCTCTTTACTTCTTTCTGAAGTATGAAGGAAATTGCCGCCTTCTGGATTGTCCAGAATGGACTTATTTCAGTAGCATCTGAGTGCTTCTTGGGAGGCTCCCACCCAGCCGTGGATAGCTTAGCTTGGCTTCTCTTCAGGTGATAAGATCTGAGCCTACAGTGCTATGGCTGGAGGGCTGCTTCCGTGTGGTGGACACATTAGGCTTTGTGAAAAACCCATGCTTCTTCAAAATTACATGCCAAAAACGTATCATGTTAAATGTTATTGAGACCACACAGTGGCAGATAATCATGGAAGGCTGTCTGTTTGTAATAGGCATGTGCCACTTTGTTAGCAGACAGCATAATTGTATGTTAATTGCACTAATGTTGATATTCCCTTAAGGATAATGTGACCTTGAAATGTTTTGTAATGGCTTGCTACTCATTATCTCCACGGTATTATGAAATTAAGAGGTTTTTTTTCCCCAGTGAATGTAGTGTATAGTCTTTTAATCTAATGTAACATTACCAAGACTTGTTAATATTGAGAACGTTGGTTTTAAACTACTATTTAATATTATCTCTTGAAAGATCAGGGATTTTTGGATACATGTTACTAACTGGCATTACACAAAACTCTTCACTTAAAATGCCAAACAGTGATGCTGTAATCTTGTAATCCTTCTTCTTAAAGAGTCAAATTCCAAGTTAAATCACAACTTATTCTTCAATAATGCTTTCTGGAATACTAAGCAAATGGTTATTTTGATAGTAAACTAATCTGAATTGTTTGTACCTCCTTTCTGGTCCTCTTGTATTCCAAACCACTGTTCTAGAGGGGCACGATGATGAAATTCATATTTTAACCTTCGAGTTTATTAACCAGGCTAGCAAGGAATGAACACATTTACATTAGTTAGGACACTACACTTGGAAGAAATACTTAGGGAAGCTTCCTTTTTTTCTTAGTTTTGTTTTATCTTGGGAATCAGATCTTTTATTTTTTTAAAGTTCTGCTTAGGGGATTTGAAAAACCCAGTGAACTCTACCCTTTTTCTAACTACCCAAATTTTAAGTTCAAGACTTTCTCAGTTCTGTTGTAGTTTGCTGGTAAACTGATGTGGGAAGGTCCACGGCACAATCACTCCAGCAGGGATCTGTGTACAGCCTGAGCTTGCTTTGAGGAATAGATAATAACTTCTCTTTTTGTTTCCTGTTGATACATTTAGATTCTACCTGTCCACCCCTCCTTTCCTGCCCTGCTCCCCTCCTGCCCCGTGTCTTTTTTAGAAGTCCAATCAAATGCTTTGGAAAGTGAAGCAAATGATCTTACCACTTAACTAACTCACTGTGAACATAATTATGCATGCTTTTTGTTATTAACAGGTGCTTAGAAAACTTTTTAAGAAAGAAAAATCTCAACCAAAGTTACAGTAATTCAGAGATTCTGACACCCAAGATAGTTTTAGAATAATGCACTATTCAGTGCCTCAGTTACTGGAATACATTTAGTTCATTTGTAGTGAAACTGCAGAAGACAGAGCTCCATCCCACTTGACCAGCCAAAGCATACTCTTTGCTAACGAATATATTTTCTGTGTAATATTTTCTTAAAGCTGGTGGTTTCCATTTAGGGCTAAGCAAACTAGGTGCTTATAAATACTTTATTATGGTTTACTGTACCGCATGCACTTATGTCCTCTGGGGAGAAGACTGTGAATGAAGAACAGACCAAGTAATATGAAACTTCACTCTTCTTAATAACAACATGCTGTGTAATTCAGACTAGCAGAGAAAGAACTACTTTTTTCCCTCTTGAAAACAACAAAAAAACCTCCAACAGAATGAAATTGGTTGAACTAGAACAGAAGGTACTTCAATAGATTTGAGAATGAAGGAGTTGAGATATGTGAGGAGAGTACTGTCTAAATCTAGATTACTATGAATTTAGATTGTGAGCGGTTTGGAAAAGATTTACTCTATATTTTAGACACTAAAAAATCAGTGATAAAAGATGAAATTACACTGAAGCAAAAAGGTAACTTGCATGCATTTTATATGATTGTGTTGCATATAATGAGTGTATATGTGAATGTGTGTATACACTCACACACACACACACACATACACAGAAAAAAATTATATTTCCCCTGGAGTTAATAAGCACAGAAAACTGTTGTGATATTGGCTTGCTAAAGGGAGAAGCCTCAAGGCTGGTTCATCTCAAAGATCTCAGATCTCTACTGAAAGTACAGAGCTGTTGCTCTAATTTGGGGTAAATAGTTATATCCATAATGAGGACCTAGAAGTCAATATTGCCATAGCTGAATTTAGATTGAAGTGAGCGACTGTTTTAGAATTGAGATAGAATGGAACCTGTTCATTGATTTTTGCTGATTCTAGTTTGGAAAAGTTAGAGTGTAAAAATCAGTTTGGTTCTTTTTAGGAACTGGAGACTCAGTATTTTGCATTTTAGTTTAATAGAAACTAATGATTACATTTTGAAAGAGAAATTTGTGACCTTGTTCTAATATCTCAAACTCTGAAATGCGTTGATAGCAATTTTTAAACTACTTGCCTGTTTCTGTATATAAAAACACAAATTAATATTGTAAAAAAATATTGATAGAAAATGTTGTAAAAAAAACAAAACAACTGTGAGTCTGTGAATTAAACCAGTTTGGAAATGTTAGCCAATTTCTATGCCTGTTAAATGTCATGTCAGAAGCACAGAAATTTAGTTTTATTATAATAAATTACAAAATCACAACGTGTTTCATGTCTCTGCACTTTATTTTTGAGAGGTTGAGGGGAGAAGTTATTAACTTAATTCCAAAGTGGGGTAGGATGGGGAGTTAAAGCACATCACTTGGAATCTTTTCATATTTTCCTCTGTTTTATACAAGTCATTAAATTGTTAACATTTTTTTTGAGTGACCTCTGTTTTCATTGGCACTGGGAATTCCCAGTATGTAGGAGCCTTCCACCAATACAGATTGGTAGCATCTCTGTAACTCAGTCTCAGCATGTTGCCTGGTGGCATTGAGAAGTTGTAACTTGCTGGTAGTCAAATAGGTAGTAGTATGCATCAGAAACGACGTGAAATGAGGTTTTCCTGACTCCAAGGCTGGCTCTCTCTCCACTTTGCCATATGCCTTCTCTGTCAGAAACAAATCCTACTTATATTTATAAATGAAACATGCACACCGTAGGGAGTAGCTCTCTAGGCAGTTTCACAGAAGTTTTAGCTTTTGATATGTATGCATGTCTTTTATTTGTGTTAACTTACTCTTGAAGGGGTACCAATGACCTGACCAAATGCAATAGCCTTAGCCCTAGTCCTTATCCTAGAATGCTAAAGTGTCAGAAGATTCAAGATACAATGAGAATTTTCAACTTTGCAGAAGGATTCTTTTGAATGTGTACCTTCCTGTCTTCTTAAGAGCTTATATTTAAACACAATACAAAATTAGGAAGGGTAGGGAGGCTAAAGTGTTAGGAGTCTCTATGGTTACTAACAGTTGTTCAATTTGGCATTGAATGAAAACTTCCCATCAAAATGGAAGGAGATAATATATCCTGTATGGCTTCATTTTTTATGGCATCTTTACTCTCCAAAAACAAAGTCCAATTCTTATAAACATTGACATTGCAGAGGACAGGGAAGAAAGGGGAACATTAGCTTCTATAGCTGCTTCTATGATATTGACCTACATAATGATGCTCTCTGTTCCTTGGACCATCACCGAATGATGATAAATTACAAATAAAACCTCCTTTATGTTGTGATAAACTGTTCATTTCTGAGAGGCCAGGGAAACGGGAAGAGAAGGGTTTGGGGCCCATATAATGCTCATTTTTTTTTGAGCAGGTTTCAGTCATTATAGATGTATGTATATGTGTATATATGTTTAAAAGCATAAAAAAAATTCCATAAGTGATACTGTAGTGGCCTTTACTTAGTCTCCATATTCACTGCTGTCCTCTTCCTGTTCTCTTCTGTACTATTTCATGGTTGTTTGTGCATCAAGGCCAACCTCTGTGAGCCTGTGTGGTTCAGGCTGTTTTGTAGGCCCAAATTTCTTCGGAATTAAAACCAAGTAACCACATATTCTTATGTTGCAAACACAACTGGGTGTCTTCAGTGTCTGAGGTAAAAGACTTCAGACTCCAGGCAAGTTAGCTGGTGGCTGTCAGTACACTTTCTGTGAAGTCAGCAACTTGATTCTTTTCTGGAGTGATGCCCCTTGTCCCAAGGGGACCTGACATCTTTCCCACTGTGGTGCTGTTGACCATGGAGCCCTGTGTTGAGGTGCTAGAGGGTTCCAGTTTATGGAAGAAAACTTGGGTAGGTTAATCAGGGTTGAAAGACCCAACTAGTTTATAATCTGCTTGGCTTTTGTTTTGAGTTCATAGAACTTATCAAGGTCCTGTTTCTTTTTGCCAGTGGGGTCTTATCTGCCCACAATCCCTGGGCTTCCAGCTGGCAATACATTTACGATCACTAAAAAGTTCATCTAGAGAATGCAGTTTTGGACATGGTCGTACCACAAATCAGGCTAGCATTTCCTAATTTTTAGTTTTATATACTGGTTACTGCTAGGTCAAAACTCTTATAATATAGATATAGGAGACCTCACTGTTCAGTATGTTATATAACTTAGGTGAGATTCCTAGGATATAGAGATGGGGAGACCTACTCATTCAGTATGTTATACAACTGCTAAGATAATAGATGGGGAAGACCAAAGGTGAAAACCTTTCTTATTTCCTCTCTCCTATGTGACCTCACAGAGTTATCCCTGATCTCTTAGCACTTTTCTGTTTTCCCTCTTCACGAGGTTCAAATAATTAATCTTAAAAACTAAAATTTCCCCTGAACCCTTTGCTTGTCTTCCTCCATTCTAGTTTCTACCCTCTCTACAGTGTCATTTAAGTCATCAAGTATATATGCTTTATAACCGATATTTTCATGTCCTAGCCACCAATTTCTTTCTTAACCCTATGCTTCGCCAAAACTGTTTTCTTGAAAGCAATCAATGATGTCTTTGCTTTTTCTTTTCAGTGCTCATCCTAGCAATTGTCAGAAGTGAGGGGTGAGGACTAGTCTTAGGTTCAAAGACTCAAATGCAGAGGTACAGAATTAGGGAAGAAATGGATTCTTATAGCTGTACTGGATCTCAACTCTGTTGGCTTCAACTAAGTGGAGAGGAGTATGGCTAACATGCTTCAACTCACACAGCCTTGGGCTGATTCTTTGCATGAGACAAATCATCACTAGCCAAAGTCCTTTGTCCTATACTCTGTCTGTGTCGGTGTCCTGACCTTGACCTGCCCCTCGAACCTCCCCCGACCCCATTTTGGACCCGTTGTTTCTAGAATTGAATCAGAAACTGCCTAACCCCCAGACCTGTGTGGATTTCTGGTTTTGCACTTTGGGAATGCTTGCTAGTTACTCTCTTAAGTTTCTGAAGCTAGTGATCTTTCCATTTTACCACAAACCAAATCTAGAGAGATTGGTTTTTATCTGAAATAACATAATAAGTTGGAAAGTTTGGGCTAGAATTTCTGTCTCCTGATTTTGTGGTCTAGGATATTAAAAAAATTTTTTTTATTGATGCCTTTTGTACTTTGCAAAGTTACAATCATTTCCCTCATCTCATACCCCTCATCGCATCGACTTCCCCATTGTAACAAATACAAACAGTTAAGTAAACAAAATAACAGCATAAGCAATGTTCCCAGTTTCATAGATGCTCACTTTGACCTTGAGGAGTTTCACCATTTGTTCCCCTGGGCCAAAATTAACCCAAATTCAGCTACCTTTTAGAGCTTTTTTTGTTTACATTAGTGTAAATATGTTGTTCTGGTTCTGCTAACTTTGCTTGGCACCAGTTCGTGTAACTCTTCTCATATATCTCTGAATTCTTCTTAAACTATTCTTTAAGGCCCAATGGTAATCTATTATGTTCTTAGAACACAGTTTGTTCAGCCAATCCCCAATTGATGGGCTCCCATTTTGTTTCCAGTGTTTTGCTACTGCAAAAAGTGCTTTAAACATTTCTGTATACTTGGGATCTTTCTGTCTGTCAAAGCCTGGAGCTAGGACATCTTTCTTACCTCATCCAGATACCAGCATAATTCAGTCTGTGAAGGCCATGGCATTCGGGCAGAGAATTTGCCTTATCTTTTGAAATGTGAGTTCAGCCTTCCTTGCCCCTGTGTAGTTGGAAGTGAACTCTTTCCTTAAGTTTCTCAAGGTGCTCACTTTATTTAGACCCTTTCTTTGAACTTACACAAATTAACTATGGTATAACTTTGAACGTATACACCTTTGTTCTCCTTCTGGATTGTTGGCTGCTTTGTACTTGAGCATAGTACAGTACCTGGAATGCAGGTGCTTAATAAATCTTGGTGGGATTGAATATATTTTCATAAAAGCATGCAAATAAAAAAAAATTAAAAAGCATTCACATGATGCTCTTATAAATAAAAGTTCTCAAATAAATGTTCTCAGTAAGGTGTGCAAATGATAGGTTTTGCTATAGTCCCTGCCCAGTCATGGTATTTGCAGAGTTCATTTGATTTAGAAAAGACTCCCAGAACTTGAAAATTGCCAGAAAGATTGCAAAGGTTTCCAGAAAGGTGCAAACAACCCTGTTACCTTGCTTCATCCTACTGCCTCTAATATTTTTTTATGAGCTTTCTGGAAGAGTGAGCAAATGACACCTAAATAAAATGGAGATATTAACTTGGGAGATGTATTGAGCAGATGCAAGTCAGGACACATCCTGGCTCCCTTTGAAGTCTATCAATGTGTTTACTGGGTTGGAAAATATCTATTGGAGCAAAGGGAAGAGATGTGTCTGGAGGCCTTTTCTCCCAGGCAAGACCAGGCCAACTCAGATTGCTGTCCAGCCTGTTTGTGTGACTCCTGTAGGGTATCATTTTATTACCTCCTTTGGAGACCTTGATGAGCCCAATTCTTTTAAAAAATTTCAATAACTGGTTTGTGACTGACTCCTGTTAATGAGATTCTGGTTGGATATGATGCTATGGTTCTCCATCAGAGGCAAGGTTTTTAATGGAAAGTTTGTTTCAGTCCCTAGATGGAAGAAACTACTGAACTTTTACCCAAAATTGGTTTTTGTAAGAGGCTTCTGGCTTCATTAACTTCCCACTGCATAATATCTCTTCCCTAAAGGCAAGATGCAGAATGAATTAATTTTGAAAGTTGGGCTAAGTTAGGCAGCTCAATATAATTCTTGTCAGTGGTCAGAATAAAAAAAAACCCTAATTTTTGTGGCAATAGTTTCATGCATAGGTTGTCTACATAGTTCATTGTTCTGCTTCTATTTTTAAGATCCATTGTGTTAGTCTACGTGGCCTACCTGTTTTTTAATTCTGTTTTCCCAATGATGAAATCTTGTTGGTGATTTGAAATATATTTTCTAGAAACTATGGGGAAATATTGAGGTAGGAAAGAAAATCAGATTTTCCTGCATTGTGAAGGAACTAGGATATACTGAACACAGCAGGGCAGTATGGGTATATCAGTAAAAGCCTTTGAAAATTCCCAGTGAATCTCACTTGGTGAACTGGGGATATTCCTGAAAAGCTACATGTAAATCTGTGTCTTGAAAATGAAAAATAAAATGTCAGGCCTCTAGGAGAGTCACTCATTGCCACATGGCAGTGGATAGAGGAAGTCATTAAGACTTAGGTTTATATTCTACCTCTGATACCTGTCCAACTCCAATAAAAGGTTATTGTG